ATACGTCTGTACTGTATGCAATACTGCCCGCGATATGCTTGTGAGTCGTGTCTAGATCTATATATTGTATGTCAAGTATAATAAAGACTGTTGAATACTTTCATGAATAATAAAAAATATGTGAGAGAAAGGCAGAGAGAATCGATTGTGAGACATGCTCAGCAGATCCGTGTGAACAAAAGTGCTGAAAGTGCCTTTATAAAAACCACAATTTCTCTGTGTGTAATGACAGTAGAAACAATAAATTCCATCACCCCTTTCGGCAGAATTGGCAGGGGAAATAATAAATTTACCTTGTATAAAACTTGAGGTCGTTTTCCGAAACGAAATAACGAGTATATGGAACAAAACTATAGAACCGAGTTATCTCGGTCGTGGGAATAAAAATGCAGCCCGCGAGCTGACCGGAATATCTCGGTCGCGGGATTGAATGAGTTAAAACAAATAAGCATATCAACACAACACAATTGCCACTATTTACTGTAGGGAAATAAGATGGAAACAAGAAAAGAAAGAAAAGAAGTAGGATATAGCAGTGGAGTCCTCCAGCCATCCTCTAAAATTGATGAAAAAACATGATCACGAACCTATTCTTCATAGTATATTCTTAGCATACTACCATGTTCTATCGTCTGCTTTTGTCTCCACTTTCTGCCCCCCCCGCCCTTTCCTCAAGGCTCCTGACTTTCTGCAGCCTTTCTACTGCTACGTGCCTGATCCTAGGTAAGCAAGATCTATCACCTAGCCTTCTCGCATAGAGGCAAAAAATCTTGGAGGTTCAGTGTGCAAGTTGCGAACGTTTAAGATCCCTTGGAGACTTGGTGGTCCAAAATCGATAAGAGTAGGCTTCAGCCACCACCCGAGCAAAATTCAAAATCAATTCCTACCAAATTAAAAATGCTTAATGTGTCCTGCATGCTCATACGACCTTACTCAGTTGCAAGCGCTGTAAAACACTTACCAAAGCAAAAGAAAAATAAAGGCCAACCTGAGAAGCATGGTCCTGGACAAGTCCCCTATGTGCTTCCTGAATATTTGCTCAGCTGTCTTTGAGCCCCAGACGTCTCTGCTGCCCACACAGATACCAAAGTGAATCTGAAACAGCGACAAAAAAATAAGAAAATATTTTTAACGTCTGTGTTTTTACACCCCCATCCACACAATTTATATCATTTAAGGGACAGGCATCCGACTATGCCCATCAGGGCCGACCCAGGGCTGAGAGGGATACGACATCCCAGTGGGAATATCGAGATACTCAAAAAAGATTCATCCCTCTTGGGAATCAAACTCCGGTCTACAGGCTGCAACAGCCAAGAGCCTAACCTTTGCAACACAAATACTGGTAGACAGCAACAAAACATACAAATAATAGTTGCATTTATATAACACATATGATCTACAGCATGCTCTATGCACTTTACAACTACTACTACTACCCCAGAAGATCCAAGAACATGAATCAGAAACATTCTCGGCTTCTCAGGAAGCATGCAAAACCAGTTCATTTTTTCAGGTTTCTATTTTTTTCCTTCAGAAGGCAACTCTATCAAACTTTGCTCTAAAGTAACAGCTTAGTTCTAACATGTACAGTAAAACTGGAAACGGGTGAAAAGACAAAAAGGCAAAAACCAAAGAATCTTTCACTGTGTAATATAAACAACAGTTGGGTATTTTCACTTTTACTTTTCTTTTGTTCCCCCCAAAAACAGAGTTCTCCAAAACAAAACAAAACAAAAACCCAACCCTGAATACTGTCAGGATGATATTAAGATGGGAGATGAGGAGGCACACAGAAGATGAGTTTGATGGGAGATGATGAGTTTGATGGAAGATGATGAGGCACACAGAAGATGAGTCTGATGGGAGATGATGAGTTTGATGGAAGATGATGAGGCACACAGAAGATGAGTCTGATGGGAGATGATGAGTTTGATGGAAGATGATGAGGCACACAGAAGATGAGTCTGATGGGAGATGATGAGTTTGATGGAAGATGATGAGGCACACAGAAGATGAGTCTGATGGGAGATGATGAGTTTGATGGAAGATGATGAGGCACACAGAAGATGAGTCTGATGGGAGATGATGAGTTTGATGGAAGATGATGAGGCACACAGAAGATGAGTCTGATGGGAGATGATGAGTTTGATGGGAGATGATGAGGCACACAGAAGATGAGTTTGATGGAAGATGATGAGTTTGATGGAAGATAAAGAGACAGACAGAATATGATGAGATAGTTTTAGTTTAGTTTTAGTAGAGGTTTTACGGCGCTCGCAACTGCATAAGGTCATATGAGCGCCAGAAGATTAGAGGTGTTACAAGAAAGTAACAAACATAAAAAAGAAGAAGGGGAGATAAGGACAATAGATGTTTGATAGGAAAGAAGGAGCAAACCACACCAGAGCACCCGCCAGATACCCACAATGAGAGAGAAGATGAGGAGATAGACAAGATGATGAGTTGCGAGATGAGGAGACAAGACAGAAAATGGTGAGACAGAAGATGAAGAATTTGATGGGAGACGATGAAGGGAAATGGAAGATAAAAATGCCAACAAAAGACGAAGAGGCAGACAGAAAATGATGAGACAGAGTTAGATGATGGGAGATGAAGAGACAGACAGAAGATGATGAGTTAGATGAGAGACGATAAGGTAGATGGAAGATGAAAACACAAACAAAAGATGAGGAGGTATGCAGAAGATGATGAGTTTGATGTGAGATGAAGAGGGCAGACTTTTACCTCCAAATCCCTGGCCTGTTTCACTCGAGCACCTTGCCGGAGAGCCTCCTCTCGCTCCAGAGCATCTGAGACACAACAAGTAGGAGAAGCTGGTGACTCACACTCAACTTGTTCTTCAATGTATATTGACATGGTAACAAACACATTTCCACAGAGGGTGGTTGACAGGTGCTCTGGTGTGATTTACTCCTCTTTTTTTTCCTATCAAACATCTATTGTCCCTATCTCTTCTCCTTTTTCTTGTTTTTTAACAGCTCCAATCCTCGCACTTATATGATCTAATTGTGTTACAAGTGCTGTAAAACTGTCTAAAATTAACTAAAACGTTTCCACAGGGAATTTCCGTTAGCTTTGTTGGTATCATGCTGGACTGGAGAACAGACCACCCTTGTTTGAATCCCCTGATTGCCGTCCTTGAATTTGGGTCAATTTGTGAAGTTTTCAAAGCTCTCAACTCATTCCATTTGGCCCTGTTGGAGATGGACGTTTGATTCAGAGGTTGCCCCTCTGAGATAAACTAGCAGTGTTGAACCTATACACTTCTTATATTACCACAGGAAAACCTAAGAATATTGAGAACAATGAAAAATGAATTCATGGAGAAATCTCATCTCATCAGCACATCCACCAATTACCTGAAAGAAGACGATGAATAAGTGGAAAAGAAAAAAAATGAAAGGACAGATCAGGAGGACGAATGGACATGTGTGTGTGTGTGTGTGTGTGTGTGTGTGTGTGTGTGTGTGTGTGTGTGTGTGTGTGTGTGTGTGAGAGAGAGAGAGAGAGAGAGAGAGAGAGAGAGAGAGAGAGAGAGAGAGAGAGAGAGAGAGAGAGAGAGAGTACAAAAGTGTGTGTGTGAGTTTAAGAAAGAGAGCAATAGAGAGAGCTTACTTTCCTCTAGATCTCCCAGCATTGGTCCCAGTTTTATGGCAGCATCATACATGAGCAGCCTCTTCTCCTTCAACGCCTTGAGAAGAGAAAGAGTAAAGGGGGCGGGGCGAAGGTGTTGGGAGCACAAATCATTAAATCAGTAAGTCTAGAGTTTTGCCTGTCCCTTAACCAGACCTTCCACTCTATGAAATCTAAAAATCAGGATTTCAGAGTAAAAAATATCAGGATCTGGTGAAAAAAATTGGAATCAGCAGCAAATCAGTCTTAAGGGGCACTGGGGAAAGGGGAGTGGGGCGGGGTCCCGGTTCCCTTTTATGAGGCAAACATGCAAGACAAAACTCTTGCAGGAATAAGTTGACATTTGGGCCTCAAAGTAGAGGGGAAAAAAACTGATAGAGAGCATGTCAAATGTACTCGAGTCTGAGTTGGAAAGACTAGGGGAGCGCAGGTTGCAGTGATGCTGAAACTTTCATCGTAGTCTTGAAAATAGCTTACACATAACTCTAATCATCCATGCAAAAGGTGCGCGTTTTCACACTGTAACGTTTGACTTCGATCGCATATACTGTATATACACTCAAGGCACCCCCCACCCCCCACCCACCACAAATCACGCCAAGGTTGTTCATTGTTCTGTTCCCCCTAATTCCTTTATCCTCAATTAGTACAAATGTCACGGCACGTACTTGAAGCCCAAGTATAAAAAAATTACCCCCATCCCCTCCCCCTGGCCGTCCCACACTGGTCAGGTCCCACAAAACACCTCGACCAATGCGACCACCAGTGTAAATGAACTTTGTTGCACCCAACAACCAACGGTATCTTATACGCGTCCTACTCATGCGTACGAGGACACATCACATGATGCCAATGAGCGTTTGAAAGTTCCACTGACAGGTCTTGATGATGGGCCCAACTAACCAGAACTTGGACCAAGCTTGCTTTTTAAGCAACGGCAGAACAACGAATACATTATTTTTAGGCCTATGTCATAACCGTTACAGTAATCAGGCTATCATCGGAGAATTTTGGATTACAAAAGCGAAAATAGATCTTTAGGGTATCCAAGTCGAAATTTAAAATCGATACTACTTCAATTGTAGTTGAAATTAACGTGCGAGAGTCAACTACTGGATCCGGCATTGATGTTTTAGAAAATAACGTTCCCAGTTCCAGTCGATATAAAGTCCAATCAGTGATTCCAGGCAAAAGAGATTGCGGAATTTTTTTTCTCCTAAAAATCAGACGCAACAACAAAAATCAGGAGACACACGAAATCGGGAAATTCAGGATGTATTTGGGGCAAAAAAAATTGGGATATCCCAATTAAATTGGAAAGGGGGGCGGGTCTGCTTAACCCTTTGAGCCTTAGCAACCGTTACACCGGCGGTGGGGTGTAAAACTGCCCGAATGCCTAGCCACTGGTACACCTGTGAGTGAGGCCCAGTCCCAAACCCAGCTGGTCTCTGACAAAACACACAGGGAAAACCGTGGTTACTAAACACAATGTTACAGATTATTTTGAAGATCTGTCTCAATTAAATGGCGGTATTGACGAGGACTACCCAGAGAGGGATATAGAAGGCGATTCTGACGATGATATTAAAAGTGAGTAATGCAAGTGTGAATCACTCAGGAGCTCAGGCAGAGGGGCACCGTAGCCTCAGATGGTCAGGGCTCAAAGGGTTAATGATGTCATAATATAAGAGAGTTTGAAACTCTTAAAGAAGAATATTTGCCGCTTTTTTTTAAACAAACAGTTCTCTTTCTTAGCCATTTCTAAACTCATGGCAGCACTACATCAAACAAAGAAGTTTTCCACTTTAATTTTTTGTACATTTAATGAACGTTTTTTAAAAATAAAATCCAACATAAACATGATTTTGAATGGACATACAAAGAGTTGTGCCAAAAATTCGATCAAAATTGTCAAACTGGCCGAAAAATGGCGATTTCTCGGATTTCATTAATTTGACGAGCGCCTGATTTCACCACGCTGCCTCACACATTATATTGCAAATGTGGAACAAAAACGGGTAAAATCATAGCGGAAGAAAGTGGGACGAAAACGAGTAAGGAAACAAAGATGGGGGGTGAAAACAGGTGCACTGCAATGAGCTGGTCATACAAAACTTAGGTCAACTAAAATAACAAACTTAAGACAGGCAATTACCTTCATGAACCTCTCGCCCATATCCTCCATCATCCCTTCGGCCAAAGACACAATGAAGTACAGACATTTCTTGCCAACACTTCGCGATTGGGAGCTTACAAATGTTTTGACTTTTTCAAGCTGAAGACCAAAAAAAAATTATGAAATTATAGGTTGGTTTTTTTTATAGTAAGAGTGACTATTTCAAGCTGAAGACAAAAATATTTTATTACATTACATAGTGGGGGGGGGTATAGTAAGAGTTCTATGGCACCTGCAACACAATAAAGTAATATAAGTGCCGAAGATTAGAGGTGTTACATGAGAAGAACTTAACAAACACACAAAAATATGGAGGAAAGATCATAACCATAGATGTTTGATAGGAAAGAAGGAGCAAACCACACCAGAGCACCCGCCAGATACCCACAATGAGAGAGAAGATGAGGAGATAGACAAGATGATGAGTTGCGAGATGAGGAGACAAGACAGAAAATGGTGAGACAGAAGATGAAGAATTTGATGGGAGACGATGAAGGGAAATGGAAGATAAAAATGCCAACAAAAGACGAAGAGGCAGACAGAAAATGATGAGACAGAGTTAGATGATGGGAGATGAAGAGGCAGACAGAAGATGAGTCTGATGGGAGATGATGAGTTTGATGGAAGATGATGAGGCACACAGAAGATGAGTCTGTATGCAGGAGATGATGAGTTTGATGTGAGATGAAGAGGGCAGACTTTTACCTCCAAATCCCTGGCCTGTTTCACTCGAGCACCTTGCCGGAGAGCCTCCTCTCGCTCCAGAGCATCTGAGACACAACAAGTAGGAGAAGCTGGTGACTCACACTCAACTTGTTCTTCAATGTATATTGACATGGTAACAAACACATTTCCACAGAGGGTGGTTGACAGGTGCTCTGGTGTGATTTACTCCTCTTTTTTTTCCTATCAAACATCTATTGTCCCTATCTCTTCTCCTTTTTCTTGTTTTTTAACAGCTCCAATCCTCGCACTTATATGATCTAATTGTGTTACAAGTGCTGTAAAACTGTCTAAAATTAACTAAAACGTTTCCACAGGGAATTTCCGTTAGCTTTGTTGGTATCATGCTGGACTGGAGAACAGACCACCCTTGTTTGAATCCCCTGATTGCCGTCCTTGAATTTGGGTCAATTTGTGAAGTTTTCAAAGCTCTCAACTCATTCCATTTGGCCCTGTTGGAGATGGACGTTTGATTCAGAGGTTGCCCCTCTGAGATAAACTAGCAGTGTTGAACCTATACACTTCTTATATTACCACAGGAAAACCTAAGAATATTGAGAACAATGAAAAATGAATTCATGGAGAAATCTCATCTCATCAGCACATCCACCAATTACCTGAAAGAAGACGATGAATAAGTGGAAAAGAAAAAAAATGAAAGGACAGATCAGGAGGACGAATGGACATGTGTGTGTGTGTGTGTGTGTGTGTGTGTGTGTGTGTGTGTGTGTGTGAGAGAGAGAGAGAGAGAGAGAGAGAGAGAGAGAGAGAGTACAAAAGTGTGTGTGTGAGTTTAAGAAAGAGAGCAATAGAGAGAGCTTACTTTCCTCTAGATCTCCCAGCATTGGTCCCAGTTTTATGGCAGCATCATACATGAGCAGCCTCTTCTCCTTCAACGCCTTGAGAAGAGAAAGAGTAAAGGGGGCGGGGCGAAGGTGTTGGGAGCACAAATCATTAAATCAGTAAGTCTAGAGTTTTGCCTGTCCCTTAACCAGACCTTCCACTCTATGAAATCTAAAAATCAGGATTTCAGAGTAAAAAATATCAGGATCTGGTGAAAAAAATTGGAATCAGCAGCAAATCAGTCTTAAGGGGCACTGGGGAAAGGGGAGTGGGGCGGGGTCCCGGTTCCCTTTTATGAGGCAAACATGCAAGACAAAACTCTTGCAGGAATAAGTTGACATTTGGGCCTCAAAGTAGAGGGGAAAAAAACTGATAGAGAGCATGTCAAATGTACTCGAGTCTGAGTTGGAAAGACTAGGGGAGCGCAGGTTGCAGTGATGCTGAAACTTTCATCGTAGTCTTGAAAATAGCTTACACATAACTCTAATCATCCATGCAAAAGGTGCGCGTTTTCACACTGTAACGTTTGACTTCGATCGCATATACTGTATATACACTCAAGGCACCCCCCACCCCCCACCCACCACAAATCACGCCAAGGTTGTTCATTGTTCTGTTCCCCCTAATTCCTTTATCCTCAATTAGTACAAATGTCACGGCACGTACTTGAAGCCCAAGTATCAAAAAATTACCCCCACCCCCTCCCCCTGGCCGTCCCACACTGGTCAGGTCCCACAAAACACCTCGACCAATGCGACCACCAGTGTAAATGAACTTTGTTGCACCCAACAACCAACGGTATCTTATACGCGTCCTACTCATGCGTACGAGGACACATCACATGATGCCAATGAGCGTTTGAAAGTTCCACTGACAGGTCTTGATGATGGGCCCAACTAACCAGAACTTGGACCAAGCTTGCTTTTTAAGCAACGGCAGAACAACGAATACATTATTTTTAGGCCTATGTCATAACCGTTACAGTAATCAGGCTATCATCGGAGAATTTTGGATTACAAAAGCGAAAATAGATCTTTAGGGTATCCAAGTCGAAATTTAAAATCGATACTACTTCAATTGTAGTTGAAATTAACGTGCGAGAGTCAACTACTGGATCCGGCATTGATGTTTTAGAAAATAACGTTCCCAGTTCCAGTCGATATAAAGTCCAATCAGTGATTCCAGGCAAAAGAGATTGCGGAATTTTTTTTCTCCTAAAAATCAGACGCAACAACAAAAATCAGGAGACACACGAAATCGGGAAATTCAGGATGTATTTGGGGCAAAAAAAATTGGGATATCCCAATTAAATTGGAAAGGGGGGCGGGTCTGCTTAACCCTTTGAGCTTTAGCAACCGTTACACCGGCGGTGGGGTGTAAAACTGCCCGAATGCCTAGCCACTGGTACACCTGTGAGTGAGGCCCAGTCCCAAACCCAGCTGGTCTCTGACAAAACACACAGGGAAAACCGTGGTTACTAAACACAATGTTACAGATTATTTTGAAGATCTGTCTCAATTAAATGGCGGTATTGACGAGGACTACCCAGAGAGGGATATAGAAGGCGATTCTGACGATGATATTAAAAGTGAGTAATGCAAGTGTGAATCACTCAGGAGCTCAGGCAGAGGGGCACCGTAGCCTCAGATGGTCAGGGCTCAAAGGGTTAATGATGTCATAATATAAGAGAGTTTGAAACTCTTAAAGAAGAATATTTGCCGCTTTTTTTTAAACAAACAGTTCTCTTTCTTAGCCATTTCTAAACTCATGGCAGCACTACATCAAACAAAGAAGTTTTCCACTTTAATTTTTTGTACATTTAATGAACGTTTTTTAAAAATAAAATCCAACATAAACATGATTTTGAATGGACATACAAAGAGTTGTGCCAAAAATTCGATCAAAATTGTCAAACTGGCCGAAAAATGGCGATTTCTCGGATTTCATTAATTTGACGAGCGCCTGATTTCACCACGCTGCCTCACACATTATATTGCAAATGTGGAACAAAAACGGGTAAAATCATAGCGGAAGAAAGTGGGACGAAAACGGGTAAGGAAACAAAGATGGGGGGTGAAAACAGGTGCACTGCAATGAGCTGGTCATACAAAACTTAGGTCAACTAAAATAACAAACTTAAGACAGGCAATTACCTTCATGAACCTCTCGCCCATATCCTCCATCATCCCTTCGGCCAAAGACACAATGAAGTACAGACATTTCTTGCCAACACTTCGCGATTGGGAGCTTACAAATGTTTTGACTTTTTCAAGCTGAAGACCAAAAAAAAATTATGAAATTATAGGTTGGTTTTTTTTATAGTAAGAGTGACTATTTCAAGCTGAAGACAAAAATATTTTATTACATTACATAGTGGGGGGGGGGGGGGGGGGTATAGTAAGAGTTCTATGGCACCTGCAACACAATAAAGTAATATAAGTGCCGAAGATTAGAGGTGTTACATGAGAAGAACTTAACAAACACACAAAAATATGGAGGAAAGATCATAACCATAGATGTTTGATAGGAAAGAAGGAGCAAACCGCACCAGAGCACTTGCCCACCACCCGCAAATCTGACGTCAGCATAATTAATTCCTTCAGGACAGTCAGCACTCCTCACATTTCCACCGTCATTTAAAAGTACAGTGCATGCAGTTTGTACAATTTTACAAGAGAGCTAAAAAACTGAATGTTGTATCCAAGAAAACAAACTTTTAGTTAGTTTTAGTTTTAGTAGAGGTGTTACGGCGCTCGCAACTGCATAAACAAGAAGCTCTTTGCAAACGTCCCAAGTCAATATTTTCAAGAATACAATTCCGATAATAACTTCTTCATCATCTTTAAAGCAAACCTTTTCTTGGTAACAACATTCAATTTTTGGCTATCCTATTAACCTGTAAAAACTGCATATACTGAACTTTTAACTCACTTACTGCCATGCCCGAACCCTGTCGGGTGATCCACGTAGACCGCTGCCTGCCAAACCCGAAACCCGTCAGGTGCGTTTTTACTACTATTTTTCAAACATTCCCCGATGTGTTTCGGGCTTGGCAGTTGGAAATGGGCGACATAAGCCAGTTTAGTCTCAATTCCGCATTGTTGCAGTAACTTCCCTTGAATAAGTTACTTAAAAATCTGACTTTTTCGAACCCACCCGAAATGAACTAAAAACTCCTAACGCTCACAGTTACGATAGCGACGGCGTCTCAACGAAGTCAGAACATTTGAATTGATGGACCCATTTGTCTATAAAGGATCAGATTTAGATCTTTTTGAAGATGATAGCGATGATGAACCATCATACAGAGTTGATGAGTATAGGGAAGGAAATAGGAGAAGAGCGGACGCAAGTGAAGATGAGAATTGTGATCTACTAATGCTGATGCTAAGGATGAGTAGACTAAAGACTTGAATGATTTTCCAGTTACATAAAATTTGTCAGATATCTTTTTATAGTGACTCTTCAACATTTGTTAGTTGATACAACATCTATTTCTTGCAGAGACAAAGATATAAAGGCATGCATACCGACTGATTGTACCAAGCAAGTAATTGTTATGTAAAAGTTTTTTTCCACGATATTGCCACATATTCACATACTCATAAAATTTCACACAGTAAAGGTATCACAAATTTTTTTTTGATTTGTTGAGTATGTCTCAATGTCATTGTTTGTGGAAAAGTTCAATGCTGTACACATAATAATAAGCTCAGAGAGAGGTTTTGAAAAAGGTCCCGAAAGCCTGGCATTCCTCTATTACCCTGCTGAGAAAAGCCTGGCAGTGAGTGAGTTAACAATGACGGCAGAGATTCATTCAGCCTACCTGTTTCCTCATGACCAACACCCTGGTGTAGAAATAGGCCAGCTCCAATGTCATGTCCACTCTGTGGGCGGTCAGGAACTTGTGGGCGTCGTCCCAGGAAGAGGTCTGGTCTTGGGCAACCATGTACTTTGCTACCTCCTGAAACAATAAGTAAATTCACATGTTTTGTGAGTGTGTGTGTGTGTGTGTGTTTGCGGGAAGGGGAGGAGAATATCATACAAAGAAAAGAAGGAGGACGGAAAGGGACAACAGATATTTGATAGTAAGGGGGGGGGGGGGGTTGTTCAAATTTTAGCAAGAGTTCTACAGCACTCACAACACAAATAGGTCATATAAAAGAGCAAAAGACTAGAGATATTACCAAAGAGTATCACACAAAGAAAAGAAGGATGACAGAGAAGGACAGTAGATGTTTCATAGGGAAAAACGGGCAAATGATTCAAATGTTCTGCACAATTTAGATTATTAGGATTATAAACCATTTGCCTCCCAACCTACTGAAAGGGAAGGAGAAAGACAATGTTTTATATACATTCATGTCCACAGTTCAGACTATTACACCAGCTTCTACCTTCCCGGCTCAGAGAGATACGTTCCAGCAAAAGGACAATGAGGCTCAATAAGACTGAGTAGGTGTTTTACGGCACTATCGACTCAATTTTGGTCATGTAAGTACCAACAAGTTTTATAGTAACAAATCTATCACCATGTTAAAAGGATGGACAGACATTTATAGAAATCTTTGTAAATATGGTAAAGACTCTTATTTACAGGCGTATTAAAAATATTCTATACGCTATGAAATGAAATAATCCAATTTCTTTAATAAAACTCAAAATTTTCCTTGGATTTACGATGTCAAAAACAGTTTTTTATATTTCTTCATTCGAAGTATTTCACACATATATCGTTGAAGTCGATACATTCAATCAGAATGTGTCGGAAAGTAAAATATGTGTTGCTTGCCACGCAAAAAGGAGCTTCCTCTCCTTCAATGCTCGATAATTCTCCCCAAATGAAAATTGAACTCAAGTCTTCCCCATGAGACAGCGAAGTGCCTAACAGGCTTGGAAACACGTCAAGCAAAATGAGTTAAGATTGTTCAGTCATGGGTTTGAATCGGGGTCGCTCAGGTAAGACTCATTCAATAAAATACACCCTCCCAAAGCCTTTCTAAAAAAAAAGAACCCAAACCAAAAGACCTCTCCAGTTGACTAGTGGGCTACGTTCTCCATTTTTATTCACAATCTGGGCTGAAAGTTTATCTTTAAAAAAAAAAAGAATTTTTTTTTTTTTTTATAGGGAAAAAAGAGTACCTTGACTTGAGCCACGGACATCGGACAGATGGGTAAGCCGTAGCGCTGTAACAAATTGTCAGCTTCCTTCATCTGCCACTTCTCAACAAGAAGCTCAACCCTGAAGAGAAAACAAAAATACAGTGGAGTCCCGTTTAAACCAAACACCATTAATCCGAAAACAGTGGTAAACCAAAGGAGAAAAAAAACAAGGCTCCCCTCCATTGTAACTTAAGTTTAAGTAAGCATTTTACAGCACTTGCAACACAAAGCGGCCACAAAGCGGCCACAAAGTGCCGAAGATTAGAAGTGATACAAGAGAGTAACAAACACCAAAAAAGCAAAGGAGGAGAGATAATAATGACGACAATAGATGTTGAAAGGGAAAAAAGGAGCAAAAGACTGCAGAGCACTCACCAACCACCCACACATGCATAAATCAATCGTTACGCACAGAGACAAAAGATGACTCACAGAGGATGGCGAACAGTTGCGATGACATCCGTCACCACGGTGACCACAGCCTCTGGGATGGGCAGTGGAGTGTGCTCCAACATGCCTTGAGCTGCCTTCACTTTCTCCTGGAGAATGAGAGATTTGGGGGGGGGGGGGGATAGCGTATGAAGGGATGGTAATAAAATAATGTTTTTGTATATGTACGGGCACAATTTAGATAAGAAGAAGAAGGAGGAGGAGGAGGAGGAGGAGGAGGAGGAGGAGGAGGAGGAGGAGGAGGAGGAGGAGGAGGAGAAGGAGAAGGAGAGCAACAACAAGAACAAGAAGAACAAGAACTTAAAATATAATAACAATAATAATAACAAGAAGAAAAAGAAGAAGAGCAATAATAATAATGGACAGCATTTGTATAGCTCAACAGCAACTCTACGCGCTTTGCAATCTATATTATTACCCCAGCAGACCTGAAAGCATTCTGAAACAATCTAAACTTCCTGGGAAGCATACCTTGCAAGTTGCCATTTTACAGGCACTAAAACATCGACATACTGGCAAGATCTTTCGCAGTCTATGGGCGGGTACCCATTCACATTTGGGTGAAGTGAGGAAAATTTCTGTAAAGTGCCTTCTCCAAGAACACAACGTCGGGCCTCAGGTTCGAACCACTGAACCAGCAACCTCAAGATTACCACTCCGTTAGCCTCCCCACTAGACTATCAACGCCACTTTAGAAGGCCAGCTTTGACCCAACCTGCCAGAGCCAACCCGGGCTTAGAGAGATAAAAAGTGGCTGGTTGGCGGGTGCTCTGGTGTGGTTTGCTACTTCTTTCCTATATAAAAATTTATCATCTCTATCTCCCCTCCTCCTTTTTTGTGTTTGTTACTCTCTTGTAACACCTCTAATCTCCGGCACTTATATGACCTTATTGTGTTGCAAGTGCCGTAAAACTCGTACTAAAACTAAAAGAGATAAAATATCCTTGATATTTGAAAAAAATCTCTCCACACAGGAACTGAGCTTGGGTCTTCTGTGTGCCATGGCAAAGTGCCTAACCTCCACACGTAAGTCAGCAAACACATGTGCCTTCATCTCATGGGTATAAGACTCACCACAGGTCCACTGATAACATCCACAATAGCTTTTGCCTTCGTTTCCCAGTCGCTCCCCACACACTGGAGGCCCGGCTGAGCGCTGGTTTGGATGAGTTCCTGGTGAAAAAGACAAAAAACACTTGTCATTATTCGGGGGGGGGGGGGGGGGGAATCTGTAGGTGCTGAATTCCCGCATTGCCATAATTCAGACCATTTAGGCGGTAGGAAGCTTTAACCCTGCCTGTCAGGGCCAACCCAAGCTGAGAGAGATACAACACACCAGCAGAAAGACTAAGATACCAAATTAAAAAATTTTCCCCGCACAGGAACCTAACTTGGGCCTTCTGCATGAAACGGCAGAGCACCTAAACACTGTACCTTAGACGCTGATTTTTATTTCATGAGACGGAAACTAAATTCAATAATGTTAAAGAGTAGATTCAGGGGGCGGGAGGTTGCTGACAAAAGAGCGAAGAAGTGGAGAGAGAAAAAAGGAAAGGATCAGAAAGAGAAACAGGAGAGATTCCCACCCAGGAGAGATTCCCACTCATAAGCATCATCATCAATACAAAAATACCTTTCAACTGCTTTTCCTTTGATCCTAGACTGAATTCCCACTTTTAATAGCAGAAATTTACAGGGATGCCACTGAAAAAATCACTGAAAATTTAAGAACTTGAAGGCATTTGCAAACAATAACACTGTAGCCACTACCACGTGGATAAACAGAAAAATGATGCAGACATAACTGTTCCTATGGATTAAACATGGATTTCAAAGATAAAAACAGAAATAACAGGGGAAAAAAACCCTGGAAAAAACATAGTCCCTGAATTTACCTACACTCCAGAACACAAAACCTACAAAAGATTTTTTTCTTAGTCAGCAATACTACCAAAAAAAAAAAACTAACAAAAAAAAACAAAAAACCTTAGAAAACAATACTAGTTTTTAAAAAAAGAATATAAAAGGGGTGGGGTAGGGGAAGGGGAAGGGGTTCCAAACCTCGACATAAGCGGCAAATATTGTGTCTACGTCCAGCCCGTGGTGTCGGACGTACGGCAATACTTGCTCCCGCAGGGTGGCAGGCAGCATATCTACGGCAACCACCTTGTCCAGCATGCGATGCACAACACCCGCCTTTGTCTCCTGAGGGGAAAAAATTGTGGGAAAATGGTGAGACGGTACAGGTTTAACGCTCCTATCTAACAATATTAGGTTATTTAAGAAGACGGGACCTTCGAGTTAAACGTCCCTCTCCGAAAAGAAATTCTCGGGAAATTCGTGTAAAAGTGTCTTTCCCAAGAACACAATGTCAGACCAAGCTGAGGTTTGAATTCCCGAACCTGCAATCTCACTATTACAAGTCCGGTAGCCTAACCACAAGACTACTGACACCTGTCTCCTGAAGACCAGAACATGTTGGATGAAATTTTAAAAAGCAGTTTAATGCCTACTTTGCTTTATGATGTACCTGGAATTGATGAAAATACATATTTAAATTTGTGCCGGACCATGAAAGTTAGCAAAATTTGTTATTCCTGGCTGCTATAAAACGTTACAAATACGTCCTGCTAATCCTATGGCGGTAACTCTTTTGCACGTAAATATAGCCTCAGGCACAGCATGGATTCGTATTTGGGAATTTTAAAATGTGTACATAGGTACTAAATTTGCTAGAACTAGTTTACTGCTTGGCTTGCAAGCGATTCATAAATACAGGTACAGTCTTACAGACAAATGCATGTTCTTGTAAAATGTAACCATTCAAATAACTTTCAAAAGGCAGTAAATCACTTTTTGACTTAGATTTGCAAGTTATTCGAAACGATGGGAAATGATAGGGAATATAGGGAGTGAGAAGTGATGCTACCGATGAAGATTTGTTCTTCAACTCACCTGGCTGAGGCTATGCAGAGAGAGACGGAAGCCAAACTTTGATTTGAGCTCCTGCAACTGCTTCAACAAGTCTATCGTCGTGTAGAGCTGGGACAGGACATGTCGGCTATCCAACTTCACCTGTCGAAATGTTTGTCAAGTTTTGATAAGTGTTGCACAGCGCTCACAACTGCATATGGTCAAATGAGCACACGGGACAGACTAAACATCTTCGGTTTGATATCTAAATTTTGAATTTTTCCTGGAAGGCGGCCAAGGCCAACTCTTATCGATTTTGGAGCACCAAGGGATCTTTGATGTGCATAACTTGCACACGAGACCTCAAAGATTTTTCCCCTTTATCCAAGAAGGCTAGGTATTAGATCTTACAAATCACAAAATCAGGGGTATGGCTGAAAGACAGCAGTAAGAAGGAGCAAAAAAGAGTAGCAGTAGAAAGGCTAAAGAAAGAGCCAGGAGCCCAGAGGAGGGTGGGCAGAATATGGAGACGAAAGCAGATGCCAGATCATGGTTAGAGAGCACGGTTTCAAATCCTGGACCTACTGAAAGAGAGGCGAACACAATACTCTGAAGACCACGAAAGGATCCCCCACCTGAGGATAGAAGAGATGTTTGCTTGTAGCGTACTAAGTACCACAGATGGTTCAGTGGCTCAGTAAGTATGGTGTTCTGTCGACCCGGGGGTCTGGATTTCAATCCCTGGTCCCCGCCAGCATTTTTTTTTTTCTCTTTTCCCACAAGATTCCTGATCCTAAAGTAGAAAGTATCAAGCATCTTGTCTTCTCAGATAGGGAAGAGAAACTTTGGAGGTCCTGTATAAAAGTTTCACACGTTCTGTTACAGATCTCTTGACAGTTCTAGAATTTTAAAAAGTGCAGGCCATTCCAATCACCATCCAACAAAAATTCAAAATTAATTTTCCAACCCAAAAACTTAAGCCATTCTAGTCAGTATATATATATATATATCTATATACTTATACTAAGAGTACCTTTGAAAACAGCAGGTGGCTACCTGTCAGACAAATGACAAGTCTTAGTTTAGTAAAGAGTTTTACGGCACTTGCAACACAATAAGGTCATATAAGTGCCGAAGATTAGAGGAGTTACAAGAGAGTAACAACAAACGTAAAAAAGAAGGAGGAGAGATAAGGACGATAGATGTTTAAGAGGAAAGAAGGAGCAAACCACACCAGAGCACCTGCCAACCAACCACAAGGACGAGTCTACATTCTGTGTAGACACAACAGCCATGTACACAAATCAACTACATTGCTAAATGACAACCTTAAATGGCAACTCAGTTGCTCTCTGAGCTCTAGCAGGGGTCTGAGAAAAAAGAGAACACTCAAAAGAAGTAGAAGGAACGGGACCCCTCTACAATCTCATACCCCTCTCCATCTGAAGAAGGAAAAGTTGATTGGCTGCAGTTCACTATGACCTAGGCAAATACCCCAAGACTCTTTCAAGCTACTTTACTGTGTCAAGAAACATTTCTTTACCTACCCTACAGAACAACTGCTTTAATTTGAAATACATCTTTCTGTTTTAGTAAGAGTTTTTTTACGGCACTTACAACACAGTTTGGTCATATGATAAGTGACAAAGATTTTATGATTTTATTAAAGCAGAGGGTTTTACGGCGCTCGCAACTGCATCAGGTCATATGAGCGCCAAGGGGTTGGTGTCAACAGAGAAGTCTTTACAGGGAATCAGACTTACTCTGCTTACCTCTCTAGCTTAAACAGCACAAGGTCAGCTTCAACTATCAAGGCACCCCGGAAATAGCAGGTCACAAGAGCGACAAACATACAAAAGAAGTAGAGGAAAAATGATAATAGTAAGGATTAGGAAAGAAAAAGCAGCAGTTCCCTGTTGAAGATCAGGCACAGTTATGAGCGAGACATGAATCAGCACATTTACAATTCTACTGTGCTTGACCGAGAAATGTCCCCCCTTTAGGAATGGTCTAAAGACACTACAGTCAGTGGCACTGCCCCGGGGGGAAGACAAAGATTTTTTTTGTTTTTTGTTTTTGTAAAGTGTTTTACGGCGCTCGCAACTGCATAGGTCATATGAGCGCGCGGGACACTCCTAATATTTTCAGTTGGTAGGAAATTTTGAATTTTGCCCGGGTGGCAGCCGAAGCCTACTCTTATCCATTTTAGACCACCAAGGGATCTTTAACGTGCGCAACTTGCACACGGGCCCTCCGAGATTTTTCGCCCTTGTCCGAGAAGGCTAGGTGTAGATCTTTCCTACCAGAAGATCAGGGGTGTGGCAGAAAGACAGCAGTAAGGAGGAGCCAAGGAGTAGCAGTAGAAAGGCGGCAGAAAGAGTCAGGAGCCCAGAGGAGGGGGCAAAGGAGGTGAGGGGGTGGGGGCAGAAAGTGGAAATGAAAGCAGACAACAGAACATTGCTAGAGAGCAGGAAAGGATGTGAAAAGAGACAATTTTAGAGAAGAAAATTTTTCGGTCGCAACCCGGATTCGAACCCGGGACCTTTGAATGAGAGGCCAACACCTTAACCTCTAGGCCACAAGAGCCCCCCCCCCCCCCCCCAGATTTGGTGCAACAAGAGAGGAACAAACACAAAAGAAAGGAGAGGTAAGGATGATAAAGGCTTGACAGGAAAGAAGGAGCAAACCACAACAGAGCACTAGCCAACCCACCAGCCAGTAGGTCTTGGTATTTTTGAGAAATAATTTACAGCAATGCAACATATGACGATAGCCGCTTGTTTTGTTTCTTGTTTAAGTAGAAGTTTTACAGCACTTGCAACACAATTAGGTTATAGAAAAGCCGAAGATTAGAGGTATTAAAAGGAAAACTAACACCACAAAAAAAAGGAGAAATAAGGACGATGGATGTTTGATAGGGAAAGAAGGAGCAAACAAAACTAGAGCACCTGCCAACCACCCACAACAACATTGGCCGTGATTCAGCAGAAACAAGCTGGGGGCAATAGAAACACTGACATGTAAGGAGTAGAAACCGCCCATCATGCCAGAACACCCATTAACCACCCACGTCCCAAAGAAAAGAGCTTGTGTCGTCTCACCTGCACTCTGGGATGCGCACCACAGGGCAACATATGACTGCCCCCACCCTTCAGCAAGGTCTGCAGTCCCTGGAGCACTGCCTGACAAAGCTCGAGAGCCTGCTCTGTCCACGAGTCCTGAACAACAGAATAGAAGCAGTCCGTTAGAATAGCTCGGACAACTCAAACACCCCTTTTTTTTTGTTTCGGGTTTTTTTGTAGTTTTTTTTTCTCCAGATAACTTAAGACTGCCTGCTCTGATTTTTATCAAACTTTTACTGGTTATCTGGTATCAGTTTGTCTTGATTATACGTAAGTAAATGGTTCCGGCCCAAAAGTGTTAACCCCTTCAATGCCGCAGGTAAATCGCCGACTGTGCCAGGGGAAATCCCAAAAACCAAAGCGGCTCTGGGGTGACCCCACTCTACCTCCCGTAACTTTTTTAAAATTTATCAATATTTCCTCATGAATTTCTGCATGTACATTCTACATTGAATCACGTTTCTATTGATATAATTTTAGGGGGGATTTCATTGAAAGATAGATGGAGAAAAGTAGGGGTCAGTAACATGATGCCAAAAACAACACCACCAAACAACATAAAACAACACATTCAAGTAATAATAAACTAAGACCAAAAAAAGGTTCTGTGAGTGTCTGCAGGAAAAGAGGCTTTTCCTTCCCTATAGAACGCTTGTACAATCCATATATATATACATCTAAGTCCATCTATGTTTACTGTCAATAAATCATTTTTGAGAGGTCGATGTGTTGGATCTAGATCTAGACCTAGATCTAATTTTCTTTTTGAGCTAAAATCTGAACCTGACGCTTTCAAACGTGGGAAAATCGAGGTAAACATAAAGGGAAGGCACCCCAATAATATTTACAAGATTTTAACAGTAACTTCCCTTATAATTGGTATCAAAACAACCTCTGTAACAGTCCCGTATATTCTACGGGTCAAAGGCACAGCGCTACACGGTTCAGGCCCGTAAATTCTATGGGCGCAGCAGGGAAGCGGTTAACAAACAATGTTTTACTCTTTGTCTTTGTTAAAAAATAATTTGCGTTAAAAAAATTTGAGGACTTACAGTGTGACTTTTATCAGTCACTTTGTATTTCGAAGGTACAGGAGGAAGTTGATCTTTCATCCTTCTCTTTCTAGTAAAGCTCCCTAAAGCACACCAATTATTTTGGCATGGGATATTTCCAGTCATGTGCTCGAAAGAGAGTTTTTGCTTGTTTGATCAAAAGAAGGTAAAATATACATAATGAAATAACATATATATATGTTCAGAACTGTACTCAAGGCTGTTAAAATCTCACTGAAAGTGTTACGTTAGTTGGTGACCGAGCCCCGGTCTGACCTCCAGTGTGAAGGTAATAAATCAGTGTCAATCGGCCACTCCCGTGCTTAACAACCGTGACGATAGCGATGCCCGTCGCTGTGCCGGCGTAACTCGGTTGTAGTAATTTTCGCATCACTTTCCCTCGTTATTTCTCCCGATCTGATAAACCCAGAAGCCTGTTTAACATCTTATTTTAAAGATCATCTTAGGACTAACTAGACAATCTCACTTTCGCTCCAGAAAAAAATCTTGTCAGTTTGTTAGTGCTTGAACAGTCAATTGGCTGATTGTGCTGAAAGCTTCCCAGGAAGCCGAGAATGTTTCTGAGTTTTCTAGGAACGGCTCGGATAATAATAGTTATAAAGCGCAGTGAGCATGCCGTAGAGCATGGATATTGACTATATAATTGTCGATATTTACATTTTGCAACATCAGCAGATATAATTTGTCATTCCTTTGTATCTTTTTAGTAGAAGTTTTGCAGCACTTACAACACAATTAGGTCATATAAATGCCGAAGATTAGAGGTATCACAAGAGAGTAAAAAACAAAAAAAGGAGGATAGATAAGGACGATAGATGTTTGATAGGAAAGAAGAAGCAAACCACACCACAGTACCTGCCAACCACCCCCATCCACTTCCTTGTACCTACTGAGAGTGAATACAAGTTACTCACTATGAGTAGCTATAAACGATAAGACATCAAAGTCCTTGCTTAACACTGTGGCCAGGATTTCTTACCTCATTCCCCAGCTCCAGTCTGCCAACCTGTTCTTTAGTCCAGTCAACAACACCATTCTGTAACACAAAATGGCATGGCATGAGATGGTGTTTTATAATAATAAAAATAATATAAATTACACTTTTATTGATCCCTAAAGGGCAATTTGGTTTACAATGGCAAACAAACTTACATATATACATAAATGCATACATACATACACAATTCAATATTACACTAATTGACTAGTACAGAAGAATTTCCCAAGGACACACTCCAGTGACAACTTAATCAAAGTGTCACCGACACTTGCTTGACATTACTTGAGTCTGAACTCACTGCTCACCTAGCCACTGCTATAAACACTGTATTGGTCATGTGTTTTAGATTCAGTAAGCATTTTATGGCACTTGCAGCACAATTAGGTCATATAAGTGCCGAAGATTCTGGGTGTTACAAGAGAGTAAAAATATAAAAAAAGAACAGAGGAGAGATAAGGATGTTATATATTTGATAGAAAAGTAAGAGCTCACAACACAGAAAGTGGAGACAAAAGCATATAAGATAACAGAAAATGGTAACAGAGCAGGAAAGGAGGTGAAAGGAGGAAATTTTAGATAAGAAAATGTTCCATCGGTGTCAGGACTCGAAGCTAAGACCTATTGAAAGATAGTTAATAGTTCTTCATCTAACAAATGAACTCCTGGTATGAGAGACTTGTTTTCAGCAATTGCCAAAAAGAAATTTGACGTCAAAGACATCGTAAACGAATGAGCCCGAGCCACTGCCAGTGGCTCATCAGCACTGCGGCTCCGCCGCGAGCCGCTGGGAGGGGGGAGTGGCTTGCCGGAGATGAGGCATTAAAGATGACGCAAAAGTGGGCACTTGCTATGAAAAAGTTGAGGGGCATTGGTCTAGACTCTTACCACAGCATCTGGGTCAGCTCCTATGACGAATGCAAGAACGTGCTGAGTGAGCCAGTCGCTGATGAGTCTCAAGTCGACTGTGGCTGGAACATTGGCCAGCAACTGACACAGCATCCCGGGAACATACGCTCTCTGAAGCTCCATCTGTTGCAAGCAAGTAAAATGGTGAAATGGTACGTGAGGCATCGAGGTGAAATCAGACGCTCGTCAAAATAATGAAATTGAAGAAACCAGAATTTGCTCCACTGGTTTGTCAATTTTTATCGTATTTTTGTTTTTCGCTCAACATTTTTTACGTTCATTTAAAAACACATTTCTGAGAGGATTTTACCGAAAAACATGGCATAAAGGCACAAAAACTGTAAATCTTCAGTTTTCAAGGACTCTCAAGCTATGGAAGTCACCAAACTTTGGCGGCCATTTTCTAACTAATTTTACCTTTGAAACCAGCGACCCCACCTCAATACACAACAAGGGTAATTTTTTGTAGCCAAAGCAAGGCAAATGAACAGGCTTAAAGATGATACAAATAACTCCGTATTCCCAGAAACTGACGAGCGCACAATTCCATCAAGTCGTGACACATAGATTTAACAACCCCCCCAATGAACCCTATTAGGCAGGCAGGACCTGCAAGTTTAACATCCATCTCTGAAAGGAGCGAGCCAAATGAGAAATTCAAGTAAAGTGCTTTTCCCAAGGACACAATGTCAGACCAAGCTGATGCTTGAACCCCCCTAACCCGTAATCTACCGATTAAGGGTCCGGTAACCTAACTACTAGTCCACCGACGCCAAGCAAGGAAGTGACAATTTGTAATCACGTCACAATAAGCAAAAAGTGAAATTTTGCACGAAAGTGGCAACAATGCAATTAAATTACAGTGACAATGAGCAATAAAGTGACATTTTCACAGAAAAGAGACCAGAAATAAAGTGATATTTTGTAATGTGGCAATAAGAAATCAAATAGAAAATATACAGTAAAATCTACTTAAACCGAAATGCTACATACAATACTATTAAAGACAGCAGCTATGTTGAGAGTCACTTTCAAAACTGTGATCTTACCAGCACCTGACCTCACCTCAAGACTGGTCCAGAGACTGAAAGCTTTTCCCACATCCGACAGAAGGAATTGGCAAAACAGCTTGTAAGGGTCATCATCCCTAAACACTTCCCAGTCTGTAGCCCTGGTGAGAAGAAGCAGTGAAAACATGTCATTCATCATCATCATCATCATCATTGCCTTTCTCACCCTGCACCAGGGTATAGGCCACAGACAAACACTTCCCACCTTTCTCTATCCTGGGCTAGCCATCTCCCAAGATAAAAAAAATAAAAAGCCGTGTTAGTCCGTGTTTCTGTAACTGACTGTTTTTACTAGGTCGGGTAGTTGGCCCTCCACAAACTGGCTCTTTTCGGGAGACCAGACCTATGCACCTTTAGTCGCCTCTTACAACATGCAGTATCAAGGCTGGTGTATTCTTTGCTCCCCCATAGTAAAACTACGGGCCCTCCCCCTGCAGGGGCGAAACAAGTCATTCAGACTGCTTAAGTTGGAAGTTTTAGTCATACACATAACCAAAATCTGGCACCCATAAAACTAGGCCATCGTACAAAAATAAAAAATAAAAAAATAAATAAATAAACAGTACCTGTAATCTCCCTTTCCAAGCACAAGTTTATATGCCTTGAATCGCCGCTGAATCTGCATCAACTGTGAAAGCAGAGCAGATAGTAAAAAAAAAAACGTGTGAGGCATCGTCCAAATAATGAATTTTAAAAAACTGGCATTCGAACTGGCCGTAGGACAATTTTTTTCAAAATTTTCTATTTTTGGCTCAACACCTTAAATGTCCATTTAAAAACGCACGTTAATTAAAGGCACAATTAGTGTAAATTTGCATTCTCCAAGTACATTCAAGCTTTGGAAAACACCAAACATTACCGGCCATTTTCTCACTAATTTTACCTCTATCACCAGGCGAGTCCGACCTTCAATTGCAAATATCTCGACTTCTTTTCAAGATAGATGAGTATTTTCTTCATAAAATTCAAGATAAATAATCAAGCTATAAGATGATATCAATAATTTCATATACCCTAAAATTGACGAGCCCCTGATTTTACCGCATCGTGACACATATCAAGATAAATATTAAGAGACTCAAAAAGTAATGGTCCCTACAAGGAGGTAAGATTTTCAAAACGAGCTGAATGCAATGAGCATAAGTAAAAAAATAAATATTTTTATTAAAAAGTAATAACATGCTCTTTTCTATGCTTATTTCAATAGTTGGACCACAGAGGAACTCTGTTTCATAAGGTTACCATTTACATATTTTTTTTTGTAAAGTGTTTTACGGCGCTCGCAACTGCATAAGTCACCATTTTTAACAAATATAATAAGTTGTGATTTGACCAGAACAATGCGTGGAACAAACTGTGGGAGAAGCATGATTGATTTATTTGGGGGAAGCTTGAAAAAGTAATTAACTTTCAATCCGAATTCAATCAAGAACGATCAAAGACAATCATGAGCAATGGCAATGGCAAAACTTCCTCAAAGTACTCAACAACCCACACACACAAGTTTGAGTAAAGAAAAGCACATCGACACAATAACAGTCACATTTAGAGATTAAGGTGGGTGGTTGGCGGGTGCTCTGGTGTGGTTTACTTCTTCTTTACTATCAAACATCTATCGTCCTTATCTCCCCTTCTTCTTTTTTATGTTTGTTACTCTCTTGTAACACCTCTAATCTTCTGGCGCTCATATGACCTTATGCAGTTGCGAGTGCCGTAAAACCTCTACTAAAAAAAAAAGAGATTAAGAGACAGCCAAACAGAAACAAAAGAGAGATAGTCAAGAAGTAGGACCAACTGGTGCTTCCTACAACTTCCAGCATGCATTGTTTTGTTTTTGGTTTGAGTAAAGAGAAGCACATCCACTCGATGGTCATTTAGTGCTGAGGAAAAAGCAAGACAGACAGAGAGAAACAACAAAGGGAAAGTAAAAAAGTAGGACCTACCAGTGGAGCCCTCCAACCAACTGCCCCTCCCACATGGACAGATTAGGAAAACAGTGATAGCACAACAAAGAAAAAGGAGCACAACACAAAAGAATGGCCACAAACACCAGGCCTGCCAACTATTGAAAAGGCAAAAAAAGGAAAGTCAACGCGGCGCACTGCGTGGTGCTAGGTCATTTTCCTGTCACACTCAACTTATTCATATATTTATTGCCAGGTTTACTTGAGCATTATAATAGGTAGCTGAACCGCCAAACAGTAAAGGACGCACGGCGAATCTGGATAGTTTAGTAACACAGAAGTTACGGTACCGTCGATATCATTCGTCATTTTCACGCAAATAATTGTAATAATATTATAATATTTATAGTGTGACTCCGAAATCGGGCAATCAAGACTGTTACCGCGAAGTTGGGAGCAGCGCATCCGGTGCGGAAAATTTCTGACAATATCATGAAGGTTGGCAGGCCTGCAACACATTGAAGCAAACACATAAAGACACACAATGATAAAATGTCAAATTACTACAAGTAACTACAAATCTTCAAAAGCTTACCTCAATTTTCACTTGGCTTTGGAAGGGATCATTTTTGTCCCCAGACTTCAGCTGCAGTAAATACAAATATTTTGTTTAATTGTTAACAAGGAATGAATAAGTTTACTGAAAGAGAAAATGAAAAAGGAGTTTCAATTGACCTCTGATCTGAAACTCGAAGGTCACTTTCAAATTTCATTAACTTCATTTCAGCTGTGCAGACATCCCTTACATAAAAGAAAAGCAATGAAAACTAAAGGGGGGCTCTCCTGGTCTAGAAGTAACAGTGTTCTCCTCTCATTCAATAGGCCCCAGGTTAAAAACCTGACAACGGGAAATTTTCTTCTCTAAAATGTTCTCCTTTCACCTCCTTTCTTGCTCTTTAACCCTTCCAGCCCCATTAGCGTATATTTTCAACATCGCATGATGTACCTCCCTCCGTCCCAAGAGCGTATATTCTCAGTTTCGGGGGGTTCGGAATTTGCGTATTTTTCAAAAATAGCGAACATAATTAAACTGTAATTTTCATAATTTATTTGTTCATTTACCTTTAAACATAGAACTTCACCCAATGTGTCCTTTGCGTGACTATCCATATGAGACTGTGGAACATCACCTTTTCCACTGTACAGCCCTAAATGACATCAGAGCTACGCTTCTCCCACCGAGACCTAACTTTGACAACACTCTCTACGGAACATAACAGCAACTGCAACAAACCTGCACTTATCACTACATGGCATTGGACAGAAGGGCGAGAGCCCAGCTGTTGCTGGATCGATAACAACAAAAACAACAACATTTAAACATTGTTATATGTTATTCTCTAAACCTCATTACAGAGATACTACATCACTTTTTAGAATGCATGCCTCTTTTTCTGAAATACCGCTGTATTGGCTGGGACTGGGGTTAGGAAGTGCACAAAAATGGCTGGGGCTGGAAGGGTTAACCATGTTCTGTTGTCTGCTTTTGTCTCCACTTTCTGCCACCTCCTCTGGGCTCCTGACTCTTTCAGCAGCCTTTCTACTGCTTGCTACTCCTTGACTCCTTCTTACTTCTGTCTTTCAGCCACACCCCTGACCTTATGGTAGGAAGATTTAACACCTAGCTTTCTCAGATAAAGACAAAAGAACTCCATTTGACCTGGAAGAGTGTTGTTACCACCCTATCCTTTAGTATACGAGTAATGACTGTAAAGGCAGGGATGGGTTGATTTAAATCAGGTCAATTTAAATCAATGGATTTTTAAAATATAAATCAACTTGAAATCAGTGATTTAAATCACTTTTTTAAAAATATTTTTATTCGGTTTTTACATATTTAAACATTCAGAATGCCTTTCCTTGGTTTTATAAAACAAGTATAAGGTTTAGTAGACTAATATAATCATGTTTAAAAGTCTGCTTTTCCCCCCTGTCACTGTAAAATAATACAGTATTCAATTATTTTTTTTCATAATTGAAATAAGAATTTTCTTTTTTTAGACAAACACAAGCGCATACACACACACACACACACACACACACACACACACCCACACACAGACAAAGAAAATGTCTAGATTTATTAACGGTAAACTTAATAATTTATTGAATGTCAGATCAAATCAATTGTGACTGAGGAGAATAAAAACATTAACAAAAAAATCACAAACAACAATGTAACAAAAATAATGATTCAGATATTATTGCAAGGAACAAAATGGCAACTGAAGGAATTTTGAAAGTAAATCACTTTCATACAATATTAAGAGTGTTACAATAACCAACAATTTAGATCATGTTGAAATGACCCGTTGAGTTGTTTGGGTTTGGAGGTTTTGAAGAGAAACACAATAATACGGTATTCTATGTACTTTTTTTCATAAATTGAAATTAACATTTTCTTTTTTTTTTTTAGACAAACACAAGCACTCGCGCGCACACACACACACACACACTCTCACACATACACATACACACACTGTAATAAAATGCAAGTTTATCTATATATGCATAATTACCCCCCTTCCTTTTAGACTGACATTTTCTTCTTTTTTTGTCTGTAGCCATGAATAATTCACTGATATAGCAGTTAAGGCTTTCTTTTGCAGTTGCTTAAATTAATCATTAGTTAAAATGAATACTGACAATGCATTTTGCACTAAAAGAACATACTTTTAGCCACTACAAATTCCAAACTGCGTTGACATTTTTTTTTTAATTTAAAAAAATCTGATCAAAATTTTTTTTAATCGATTTTTCTAAATTCTATTTTTTTTAATTTTTTAATCACCCACCCTGAGTAATGGACAAAACTGAAAGTTTCTTTGGTAAGAGTTTTATGGCTCTTGCAACACATTAGGTCATATAAGTGCTGAAGATAACAGTTGGTACCAGGTAGTAACATACAAATATAAAGAGAGATAAGGATGAAAGATGTTTGATGGAAAAGTAGCAAACCACGCCAGAGCACCCACTAACCACCCACAAACTAAAAGAACCATTGAAAGACAAGACAACAGTAACAAGTGGGACTTTGTGGGCGATTGCTAGGTGCTCTGTTGTGGTTTGCTACAGAGGAAACCTGATATAACAGGGATGGTGGGACCAGGGAAAAAGGTGTGTTATATCAGACCCCTGTTAAATCAGAAATGCAAGGGAAGTAAACATTTGTGGACTAATCCAGCTAGGCTAAGGGCTAGATCAAAGTCTGCAGCACACCGCTGCTCTCTCTCGCTTCACCCGCTGGGTGTGCTTGCAGTGGCGTAGCTTTGCACCATCACTGCCTCTCTCTCTCTCTCTCCTTCTCTCTCTCTCCCTCTCTCTTACTTTTTACACATTGTTAACAAGCCTTTGTCCCTGCTATAACTGATCGGGCTCCAATGAGGCCCTGTTATTGCCGAGAGCTTTTATAGAGAACAAAGAGTAGGAAAAAACGTGGATTCTAAAAATCCCCTTTTAATACTGGATCCCTGTTCTTACATGGCCTGTTATATATGGTTTCCACTGTACTTCTTTCTTATCAAGCATCTCGCGACCTCAGTGCTTTCTTGTCGTATCTCCATTTCTTTTAACAGAGAAAATGTGAATTCTTAAGCTCACTTTTTGTTACAAACAGTTTTCACTGTCATTAAACATGGAGACACGATAGGAAAGCACTGGGGTCACGATCTATCGCCCTTACCTCTCCTTTCTTTTTCGTTTGTACTCTCTTGTAACACCTCTAATCTTCGGCACTTATATGACCTTATTGTGTTGCAAGCGCCATAAAACAGTTACTATAACAAAGTGGACTTGCCTCAGTGGCACACTGTCTCAGGTGGTCCTCCATCTCCGCCAGGGTCGGGAATGTCTGCCAAATCTTGGACTGAACGATGTGTGGGACAAACTGTGGAAACAAGTATGATTGACTTATGTGGGGGTGGACGGGGGGGGGGGGGAGAAGCATGATTGATGTATGTGAGATTACTATTATTATTATTACTATCATTGCTTCTTTCATTATCATTGCTATTATTATTATTATTATTATTATCTTGCTCTTTCTCAGTTCTTCTTTTCCTTTATCTTTCAATATTAATTACAAAAATAAAGGGTCTGGCTTTGCTTTGCTTCCTGATTTATCACAAGCTGAAAGCAAAAGAAAATCTTACATTGTAGTCAAGTCCGTACATTGTGGCAAGTTCTTGGGCTTCTGCAAACCTCTTCTTGGCTATGAGACGAAGCAACCTAAAACAAGAAGAGAGACAGAGAAAAGAAAAAAAAACCCAACAATGTACACACATAAGTTTTCTATGAATAAGTGTTACGAACACATGGATATGCCCTCTTGATAAATCACTACGAGTGGTTATACCCATTTTAATAACCCTTGAGTCCCGTCTGTTGTTACGAACGATCTGGGGTTTAAAAGGGGAAAAAAAAAAACAGGATTAACAAACGGTACAAACCCTATCTATAAAGTTGATGCCCATAAGGCTGAAATCTGAGACGTAACTCATTTTGTCAGCACACTTCACATTTGAACCTGCTCTAGCGACTGCCTCTCAAAAAGCGGTACAAAGACTCAAGTATTACCTGGGCCAGAGGGAAGTGAAGGCCTAAAAATACCCCACTGCTGTACGAGTTAAATAAGACTCACCTCTGCTGTGGGTTAGTTTCAGCATAGCAGCGATAGACAACAGTCGTCTCAGCCCCGTCTTCACTGGGAGAGAGAAGAAAAAAAAAGTGTTCCCATACATTAGCTTTGGTTTTCCTGTAAGTTATACATCCCTCGGTACAAAAAAAAAAGAGGTCACTCCACTGTTAGAACGCATGGCCTGGTGGGAAAGATACAGAAGATAGAACAAGATGTTTCTTTGTTTAATAAAAGTGAAGAGGACATCAACATAATAACCACCACTTACTACTGGGAAAAAGCAAGACAGAATGACAGAAACAACAGAGGGGGGGGGGGGGGGGGAAGAAGTTGGGCCAACCAATGGCGCCCTCCAACCACCCCGACATATGAGGAAAGATTTTACAAGGGATAACCAAGACACCCATCAACCAACGGCACTAAAAAAATTCAAAAAACGTTTCGATTCTGTTTTTTCATAACTTTGAAGAGAAACGCATTCACGTGTCACCAGCCATTTAGCCTGTCAAAAAGCAAGGCAGACAAACAGAAAAGACCGGAAAGAAAGAAAAGAATACCAGTAACACCTTTCAACAACCCACACAAAAGTCTAGGTGAGGTTATCGGAAAGGTCATATCGATGGCTGGGAGCAAGACTCCAGCAAACGTCGACGAATTGCGTAATAAATGATGGCATTCACCAGAGTCTTGTATCTCTTGCCATTGATATGTGTCATGACACTGTGGAACCAGGCACATATCGAGTTATTGGTGTAATCTTAAAGCTTGTTCATTCGTCTTGATTTCGGGGGAAAAAATGAGATATTTGCATGTTGAACCAAAGAAAAATTCGATAAAAATTGCAAAACCAGTACAAAAATTCCTGTTTCTACGATTTCATTATCTTGACGAGCACCTGATTTCACCATGATGCCTCACATATTCACATTACAAGCATGCAACTTGACTTACTCCTCTATGCTTTTCCATTCCGTAGTGAAAATCTCTTCCTGTGTGAGATAAAACAAAAACACAAATGAGTTAAGCTACATGCACCATTTGTACGCTTCCCAGGAAGCCAAGAACGTTTCTGAATGTTCTAGGATCTGATAAGTCAATAACAGTTGCAAAGCGCATAGAGCATGCTGTAGAGCATGGATATGCGCTATATAGATGCAGTTATGATAAATTATTATATCAATATTAGCACAGTAATGGTCATTCAGTGTGTATAAGTATGTGTGAGTGTGTGTGTGTTTGTGTATGTGCATGCATTTGTATGAGTGTTAGTACACATCTACATGAGTGTGAGTGAGTAAGCAAGAGAATCCATGTGTGTGCATTTGAAAGAAACTGAAGTATGCATGTATGTGACGAAGTATAAGCATGAGTGTGTGTGTGTGTGTGTGTGTGTGTGTGTGTGTGTGTGTGTGTGTGTGTGTGTGTGTGCGAGTGTGTGTGTGTACATGCATACATTAACTGCTTAACGCAAGACTCTCTGTCGTACACTATTTTAAAAAGTGACGTACATAACAGACTCTTAACCCTATCCGTACGTCGTGTTTTACTATCGTATCCAAACGATGTAGGGAACTCTGTGCCACCACTTTCGAAAGAGGAAATTTACGTGTTGATCCGATCGGTACACTTTGCAAAGCAGTCTGTCAAAATGATCTTTTGAGAAATACTGAAAGTTTCAGAGAGATCTTCGTACTGCAAAATGACCCCAGGGCGTGCGGATAGGGTTAAACTGCAAGCAGTTGATATATTTATCGGAACGGATTTTCATTATGACCTGAGACAACAACCTTATCTTATTTCATCTTATCTTCTGACCCGACACAACAATCTCTTATTTCATCTTATCTTCTGACCCGACACAACAATCTCTTATTTCATCTTATCTTCTGACCCGACACAACAATCTCTTATTTCATCTTATCTTCTGACCCGACACAACAATCTCTTATTTCATCTTATCTTCTGACCCGACACAACAATCTCTTATTTCATCTTATCTTCTGACCCGACACAACAATCTCTTATTTCATCTTATCTTCTGACCCGACACAACAATCTCTTATTTTATCTTATCTTCTGACCCGACACAACAATCTCTTATTTTATCTTATTTTCTGGCCTATGACAACAAAGTCTGGAAGCTTTCGTGAACTTGAGGTTAAGGTGTTCGTCTCTCATTCAATGGGTTCCGAGTTCAAATCCGGATAGCAACGGAAATTTCTCTGCTCTAAAATGTTCTCCTTTCACATTCTTTCCTGCTCTCTAACAATGTTCTATCTGCTTTCGTCTCAACTTTTCGCCCCCACCTCCGTGCCCCTGACTCTTTCTGTAGCCTTTCTACTGCTACTCCTTGGCTCCCTGCTGTCTTTCGGCCACATCCCTGATCTTATGGTAGGTAAGATCTACACCTGACCTTGGATAAGGGAAAAAAATCTCAGAGGCCGCGCCTGCAGAATACACATGTTAACTCATTCGCTACGCCGAGCCGTGGGTGGCGGCGCGGCTAAAGTGCCGTCAGTACGCTAAGCGGCTCGAGAACCGACGTTCAATTTTAGCTTGGTTTCTATTCCAATCGACATATCCATGTTAAAATAAAGGTCATTATATAAAGTTGACTTCAGGGCCAAACGTTTCCACCGAAAATCGGAAATTTTGATTCAGTTTTGAAACACGATTTCGAAGTTTATGCGACATTGTTTTATCGCGACGCCCAAATTATAGCCCAGACACCAGTCTTAGTACTTTTACACAACAAAATGTATCATTATTTTGCTCACTAAAGAAGTGTAGGACTCTTCTTTATAATATTGATACTACTGGACTCAAATTGCCAGTGCACTGTAATTGAGAAATCAATATTTTTGAGTGCTAGATCTAGGCCTAGATCTAAATAGTCAAAATATTTTTTTCTCCCCAAAATCACTACTTTTTGGTGAATTTACTCAAAAAGTACCACCCAAGACATGTATAGGTTTATTCCAAATGCAATTCTGAATAATTCCATATAAGATACGAGTGTTTTTTTCTGTTTGGGATCCTTTTTTCAAATTTTTTAATTTTTTAAAATTTTTTCAATATCGGAGGTTATGATCCAAATGTACAAATATTATGGAATGTATGTAAATAACTGCTCATTTTTCAATATTTTCCTGTTCTATATACTGTCATGGTTATTTTGATGTATAATTTAACTAGGTGCAAACATATTTTTTTATTTTCATCTGAGATTATGAATGTTTTGTTTTCAAATTTTATCCGCAGCCAATCACAGTTGTGTTGCATAATCGCCTCTTACAGGAACCAAAGTTGAAAAATACTCAAACAAACGATACAGATGTATTCTACAAACCATACTGAAAATGTTGGTATATAATATGTTGATATTTATTTGAATTTATGGCCCTCAAGACCTGTGAACTGTGCACGAGTCATCATCTCATTCTGCCCTCCCGAAAAAAAATTCGTCCACAAGCCGAAAATAATACGTAGCGAATGAGTTAAAGATCCCTTAGTGGGTCCATAATCGATAAGAATAGGCTTCGGCTGTCACCCGCGCATAATTAAAAATTTCCTACCAACTGAAAATGTTCAATGTGTCCTGCATTCTCATTTGAACTTATGCAGTTGCGAGCACCGTAAAACAAACAAAAAAATACCAACAAAGCCTTCTCACTCTGACCTGAGACATCAAAGCCTTCCCTAGGCTTGCCCTGCCGCTGATCCGCTGCTCAAAAAGCGACCTCCGATCCGGCAGACTCAGTAGCTGAACCTTCTCCTCCTGAGGCACCAGAGCCACCAGCTTGAAGTTCTCCAATCTGTCAGTTTCGGTTTTATTTAGTTTTTAAAAAATGTAAAAATAAGTTACATTTTTATTGATGTCAGAAAAACCATTTGGTCACAAAGGCATACGTACATTCATACATACATTCATTCATTCATTCATTCATACACACATACACATACATACATACATACATACATACATACATACATACATACATACATACATACATAGTAATAAATACATACATACATAGTAATAAATACATACATACATAGATTCCATACACAAGTACGTACACAAAAACACAATATTGCACCAATGCAGAACAATTTCCCAACCGTGCCATTGCTGGTCGCCACTGTGCAGCGCCCTGGGTTTTTTTTTTTTCTAGGGTTGCCATGGCTTGCTCAAGGACACACCCCTGTGACCACCCACTAGGGGTGGGTCACGAGCGCGAGAACTGAACTGAATCGCCACTCTTGCCTACGGAACGCGATTCACGATTCACTTCAGCGGAACGCGGAACAGTAGCGCCAAACGATTCCCGATTCACTCCCCTGTCGCTGTCACCACTTTGTGGCTTGTTTAACCTATTGCTGAGTCGAGTCACGAGCGCAAGAACGGAACGGAACACTTAGTATGGCTCCCCTTATTTTACAAAAGATGGTATTGTCCAACCCCCCTATTAAAACAAAATGAACGGGGTCCAACCAATAGACTGAAGGAATTTTATGGAGCCATTGTTTTAGCGAATCATGGGGTTGGGGGGGGAATTTATGGGGGTCACTAATTGAGGTCAGTTGATAGAGCAGCGCAACAAAGGGTGTGGGTCGGAGAGGATGGCGGAACAACAAAAGTGGGACTCGCGCTCGTCAAGAGGCGTTGATATGACACTGTTCCGTTTCAGTCAGTGTTCCGCCACAGCTCCACGAGCGCTCGCGTACTCGCGATTCATTGAAGCCGAATGAATCGCAAATCGCCACTCTCAAATTTGACGAGCAGGATCCAGTCCTACCACCCACTTAAACCCTGTGTAAGAGTTAGAGTTTTTACAACACTTGCAACATAAAAAGTTTATGTTATATAACTTAAGTGCCAAAGATTAGAAATGGTGCAAGAGAGGAACAAACAAAAAAAAGGAGAGAGGAGGATAATAGATGTTTGATGCAAATCACACCAGAGTACCTGCCAACCACCCACCCAGCCTGTGATGGACAACGACAAAAACAACAACAATTTGAAGGTGACACACAACTAACTGCACACCAAAACTACAGCAGGGTCCGCTTAAACCGAAATCTGCAGGAGAGGGGGGGTGGGGAGGAGGGTGCGCATTTAATTTTTTTTCAATTATTAACAGTTGAGGGATTCTAGCTTACTTGAAGGGCTTGTCACTTCTTGGATCCACAATTCTGAAGTCCACACAGCCCGGTCCTGACCACGTGTGCACTACCATCAAGACCACTGTGTCAAAAAGGTAAAACGTTCCCTGGGGAAACAGAATGTGTCAGGACCACAGTGTCAAACAGGGAAAATGTCCCCTAGGGAAACAGAATGTGTCAGGACCACAGTGTCAAACAGGGAAAATGTCCCATGGGGAAACAGAATGAGTCAGGACCACAGTGTCAAACAGGGAAAATGTCTCCTGGGGAAACAGAATGTGTCAGGACCACCGTGTCCCCTGGGGAAACAATGTGTCACAACGCGGTAGAATCAGGCCCTCGTCAATTTTTGGGCACGTGAAATCATTGCTGTCACCTTAAAGCTTGAAGGAGGTGGTCGCCTGGTAAAATAAGCTATAAAATGGTCGCCAAAAATTGGTGACTTCAAGAGCTTGAGTGTCGATGAAAACTGCAAATTTACCTTTTCTGTATCTGGATCGATAACAACAACCTTTTCTGTATCTTTCATGAACCTTTTTCCTGTAAAATCCACACTGGAATGCATTTTCAAAAGGACATAAATGGTGTTGAGCCAAAAAGATAAAAAGTGGTCAAAATTGCCCAATGAGCACAAAATGCAGGTTTCTTTGATTTTATCATTGTCACCACGGAACCACATAAATGTCTACGGCCACCATAAATAATCACCATGGCTGCAAATGGTAAAAAAAGAAAGTGTCTGTAGGATTGTAATAGTAGAAATTGTGTGTTTTTAGTCCCTCGTCAACAAAATTTTGGTCATTTGCGGAGCAGGCTGCTTCCATCCAGCCTGTCAAGGCCAACCCAGGCTAAGAGGGATTTTTTATCGAAGGTCGGAGAAACTCAGTAAATTATTCTCTCCACGCGGAAATCGAACTCCAATCGTATGCCAGCAATGGCTAAATGCTTAAACCATAGATGTCGATGTGCCTGTAAAAGAGAATTTATTTTTAAGAAAAAAGAGAAAAAAAGAGAAAAAAAGAAAATAGAAATCTGATTCCTAACCATTTTATGATCAAATACTCAATCAAGTAACACAGTTGATGACCACTCTGTTTCTTTTTATATCATCTGACCACACCACACCGTAACGCCCACAAACCACAGCAGCAGCAAACCCTGACTTGACCAACTGATTGATTGACCGACTGTGTGGACATTTTACATTTATAGCACTATTGACACAACTTTGGTCTTGTAAATGTCAACAGTGGATTTAATACAATAAAAATTTTACTGATTTACAATTTTATGGCGTAATGTATACATGTTTTCAAATTTCATAATTTCAAAATCAAATCAATTTCTTTCACAAAATTAAGAATTGAGTACAGGTCATTGATGTCAAAGAGTTGTAATACCTTTGCATTTAAAATAATTCAAATATGTCAACATATTCTACCAGAAAGTGCCAAACTGAAAAGTGTGATGTACACCACGCAGAGCGGAGCTGAGCTTCTCCTTCAAAACTCTTACCTTCGAATCCATTGTCAGCAGAGCATCTCCGTTTGACAGCACTGCCAACGCCCTCATTTCTGGATCACCGTCTTCGTAAAACACACAAACAAAACAGAAATTAGATGTTTACACAAGTCCCCCTGTATCAGACAAGGCAATAGTTCTTGGTTTTTTTAGTTTTCTTCAAGCTCAGCTGCGTTTGAGTAAAGAGAGGCACATCAAGACGATAACCGTGTGACGGTCATTTAGTTTTGTTTAACTTTTCGTAAGAGTTTTACAGCTCTTGCAACAAAATAAGGTCATGTGTTACAAGAGATTAACAAAACAAAAAAGGAAGAGGAGAGATGAGGACAATAGATTGTTTGATAGGAAAGAAGGAGCAAACCACGCCACAGCGTCTGCCAACCACCCACCTCGATAGGTTTGGGTGCACTCCAGGAAGGACAAAAAAACCATCAGTGGAGTCCACTTAAACCAAACACCGATAATCCAAAAACATCGGTAAACCGAAGAGAAAAAAAATCTCTCATTTCTATTTATTTTTCATATTTGTATTCGAGCAACCTCTCTAAATCGAAAACGGGCTGAAACCAACAAAAAAATACAGCAGTCCCGCAAATCTCAGTTTAACAGGAGGATTTCAAAGTATATGTGGCACGACGTGGTGCAATCAGGCTCTCGTCAATGTTTGGACATATGCAGTTGATGGTACCATCTTAAGGCTTGTCCATTTTCCTTGTTTTGGGTGAAAATAATATCCATCTATGCTGAATAGAAGTCGAGATATGTGTGATTGAAGGAGGTAAGGGTCATCTGTTTCAGAGGTAAAATTAGAGAGAAAATGGCCGCCAAAGTTGAGTTATTTCTTTAGCTTGAGAGTGCGTGGAAACTGAAAATTTACATTTCTTCTGCTTTCAATCAACGTTTTTCAGTAAAATCCCCCGAGAAATGTGCTCTTTAACGTGCATAAAAGTTGTTGAACCAAAAAACAAAAATTCGATAAAAAATCCCAAACCTGCAGGAAAAGGCCAATTTCTTGACATTCATTATTTTGACGAGTGCCTGATTTCACCAAGCTGCCTCACATATATCATGTACGTAAACAAAATGTTTTTACAGGTAGACGACAGTCAAACAACCACTTACCCTCACTGACTTGTTCTTGTGGTACCAGTTGACCTTCATCCTCACAAGAGAAGACATTCAAACAGGAAGCCCCACCACCCTAAAGTGAACATGTAAACAAAAAAAGAGCAAAACATAAAATAAATCATACAATACTTTAACTGTATTTAAAATGTCAGTACTAAAAAAAAAAAATCAACAAAAAAACGAAAAACGGCTTTCATTTCAACTCATAATCTAGGATGGATAATATTTACAAAACAACTCTTTACATCTTGTAGATTCTAACCCATAAGGATTTACCCTTGAACAACTAGCCCCTACCGAATAATAAAACATTGGTATACTGACCACAGTGTAAACGTTCGACTCCGTCGCAGCAACATCCCAGGACTGGCTGTGGCTGGTTCTCAGCTTGTCCACTTTCACGGCAGACAGGTCAATATCTGGTTTGTTTTGTTGGGGCAAAGAGAAGCACATCGACCACAATTATGGTCATTTAGTGAAGGGAAAAAGTAAGACAGACAGACAGACAAATAGACAAACTGTTTCCGTTTTAGCAAGAGTTTTACGGTACTTGCAGCACAATTAGTGCCATAGATTAGAGGCTTGTTTTGTGTTCGTAAGTGTTTCATGTCATTTGCAAGCAATAAGGTCATATAAGTGCCGAAGATTACAGGCGTTGCAAGAGAGTAAAGAACACAAAAAAGGAGATAGATGTCTGATAAGAAAGAAGGAGCAAATTTCACCAGAGCACCCACCAACCGCCCACTTGTTGAAGTAAAGAGGAGCACATAAACACAAAAACGGCCGTTCGGTGCTGGGAAAAGCAAAACAGACAGAAAAAGACAGAAACAATACAGGGAAAGTAAAGACGTAGGACTTACATAAACAAATTCTTAAATACACATCTGAGTGCTCAAGTCATTTGTGTGACATCGTGGTGAAATCAGGCGCTCGTCAAAATATTGAAACCGAGGAAACAAACATTTTCCCAGCCATTGGGCAATTTTAATCGCTTTTGGGGGAGGGGGGGGGGGGGGGAGCACCATTTTTTTGTTCACTTAAAAAACACATTTCTGCTTTGATTTTATTGAAAAACATTGAGCAGATGGGACACAAACTATTTTTAATTTGCAAATTTCAAGGACACTACAGTCTTGAAAGTCATCAAACTTTGGAAGTCATTTGTTCGCTAAATTTATCTCAAACACCAGGTGACTCCTGCCACCTAAAATAAAATATATCATATTTTTTTTCATCAAAAGAAAGACAAATGAACAGGCTTTCAGATTGTATCAATAACTACATAGATGTCACAATGTGGTGGAATCAGGCTCTCGTCAATTCTTGGGCATATGAGGCCTTTGGTATCTTAAAGGCTGTTCATTTGCCTTAAAGGGGAAAAAAATATCCATCTATGTTGAATAGCAGACGAAATATTTGCGATTGAAGGAGGTCACGGTCACCTGGTTTCAGAGGTAAAATTAGCGAGAAAATGGCCACCAAAGGTTGGTTATTTCCATAGCCTGAGAGTCCTTGGAAACTGAAAATTTACATTTTTTGTGCCTTCAATCAAATGTCTTCAATTGTATCATTTTGACGATCATCTGATTTCACCAGTGTAACCCATAATTTACTATATAAAATGAATTGTTGTCCTGTCTTGTTGTGTGCATGTGTCAGTGCACCTAACCCTTGTAAAATTCCACTGCTATTATAAATGACCAGGACAATTTCTCCCTGTGAGGTGAATAAAGATTGTCATTGTCATTATAGATCTTGGGTTATTTTGGGGACTTTTAAGGCTCTCCGCCTATTTGGCTCGGTCCTGTCGAATATTGGACGTTAAATTCGAAAGTTCCGCTTCTTAAATAACCAAACAGTGTTGAAAGGGGTATTAAACCTATACAGATTCAAACAAAAACACACACAAAATGAACAGTTTTCTAATATGCCCAGATTAACTAACCCCTCAAATCCAGGTAGCTCACTAAGGGGACAAAATTTCATGCCCTGAAAAAATTGCATATTCTCAGACTCAGAGCTGAAACTGAAAAGTATTTAATTTGTAAAATGAAACAGGAACAATTACACTTAATGCTGCCTACTAGTGGTGGGTGAAGAAACTGTTCCTGTGGGCCAATTCCCGCAATAATTACTTGTAAAGAAAAGAATGGATTATTTTTTACGCAAACCAACGGTTGCCGTTAACATTATTTGTTATGACTTTTGGGTATTTTAAACAGAAGTTATTCTCCTTCAATCGCAAATATCTTGCCTTCTATTCAAGATAGAAAGAAAGGTATTTTTTTCTCCAAAAGCAAGGCAAATAAACAAGATTTAAGATGAAACTAAACAAAAAACTCCACATTCCCAAAAATTGACGAGCGCCCGATTCCACAGCGTCGTGACCTAGTGGTTAGGCTCTCGGACTCACAACCGTAAGGTCGTGGGTTCGAATCCCGTCAGGGACCCAACGTTGTGTCCTTGGGAAAGGCACTTTACACGAATTTTCCTCACTTCACCCAGGTGGGAATGGGTATCCGGCTATAGACAGCGAAAGATCTTGTCAGTTTGTTAGTGTTTGAGCGCTTAATCGGCTGCTTGCACTGTATGCTTCCCGGGAAGCTGAGAATGTTTCGAAGTGTTCTATGGTCTGCTGGGGTAATAATATAGTGTAAAGCGCATAGAGCCTGCTGTTGAGCGGGGATATGCGCTATACAAATGCTATCTATTATTATTATTATTATTATGATGTTGTCAATCAAAATTTCGTCTTAAGAACATTTCCTCCCTCAGCGTAAGACTCACTAGACCCTCAAGGACACATACCTCCATCCAGAAGCCTAATGTTCCGGAAGACCAGCAGCAACCCTCCGGACGACAAGCACATCAACCTACAGGAACTTTCTTCTGAAAAACATAAGAACAATCCATTTCTCCTTTAAAACATACACACGAAGCAAACAGAAAATGTTACAGGAGATCATTTTGCCAAAATGAGTCAGGCTAAAGAATGCTGAACTGAATTGGACCTTAGTATGCTCTAAGATTTTGTTTACTTCTTTTTTTTAAATGTGAAGAGGTACATGCCTGTTTGTTTATGTGGGTGAGTGTGCAAGTGTGAGAGCAAATGTGTCACTTTTTTTTTTTTTAAGAGTTACAGAGACAGAGAGGAGAAATTAAAAAAATATTGCTAGTATATGTATAATATAGATCTAATATTACTTGTACATGTCTATCTATTAAGTATTATTTTTCTATAACGATTACAGCAGATTCTCCAGCAGCAAGTGTATTGATTTTTAACTATTTTAGTTTAGTATAGTTTGGTAAAAGTTTTAAAGCACTAGCAACTACATAAGTCGGTTGTTTTCACGTCAGTTCACAGAAAGGCTTGGTTTTCCCTTTGGTTGAAGATAAAAATTCATGGTAAAATTTTTATTTTAAACACAGTCATTTACATTTTTAAAATAGTATTCTACATCTTCGAATAAAGACCACTGGTCTTCATAAAATAAAGAATCCTGATAGGGTAAAACATGGAGAACAAATTCTTCAAGTTAGTACCATTTAAAATATTTCCTTTGGGTCTCTCCAAAGTGCGGACATTCTATTAGTATGTGTCAGAGAGTAAAAGCATTATCCACAGCCCACAAGCAGGGGGGGGTCCCGCCTAGCACCTTATCTAGTCGGGGTCACAGGGCCAGCTCCCTGTCGCCACTCTGTCTGGGCTGACTTGATTTTTGGTACTTTTCAACTTTAAGTTTAGGGTGTATCCCTACATTTATGGTAATTATCATTTAATGCATCCAAAGCACGCATTTCTGCTTTTGAGACTCAAAAAAGAACGGACATTGTAACTTGTCTGGTTATTTCTTTAAAGACGCTGAAGTTGGCAATGCTAAATTAAAACTTTTTTGGGGACAAATGTGAATGAATAAAAATATTCTAAAAACTCCCTCTTTGTCTTTCACAGGTAGAGTGGGCTTGCTGAACCGACATGAATGAGTTTTTGTTGTCTGGTGTACAATCTGCAAGTGTCTGTCTGTTGTTGCTTTCTCTGCCTTTTCAGCCAGGCCATTCAGGTAGGTATTCTCGTACGTCTTGGTGGAATTCTTTACCTCCCGGTTTACTTCGGTGTACTCTTTTATTGTGCACCCAGTTTCTCAGTTCGGGAACGGATGTTGCTGACTTGGGCCTTCAGCTCTCTTCTTCTTTTGACTTTGTCTAGAGAGTCCAGTGAAATCTATTCAATCCTGGTGTTCACTCTGCGTCCTAGAGCGTTCTGGCAAGTTGCATTTACCGCCTCTTTTATCTTGTCCCACTGTTCGTTTACTTCACAGTCATCCAGATCTTGAAGGGCTTGATATCTTTTCTTCAGTTCCAACTTGAATTCATTCTTCTTTGCTGGGTCTTTCAGAAGGCTCACTTCATACTTTATACGACTTCCAGTTGTGACTTGTGCACACCTTCTCAGTTTCAGTTTCATCTTTCCAAGACTCAAATGATGGTCTGAAGCAACGTCTACTCCTCGTAAGACTCAGACGTTCTCCAGTGAGCGTCTAAACTTTCGGGACAGGCAAAAATAGTCAATCTGGTTTTCTGTTGTTTCATCCGGGGAGACCCAAGTGGCCTTAAGAATCCTTTTATGTGGGAAGATTGCTGAATGTACGGAAGTTTTGGAATTTTTCTCCGTTGTCATTTGCCTCTCTTTATCCATGTCTGCCCATGATTTCCTCACAGTGACCATTGTCTGAACCTACCTTTGCATTTAGGTCTCCCATGACAATGTTGATGTCTTTACCGGGAAGTTTGCCGATCACACGCTGCAGACGGTTGTAGAAGTCATCTTTGTTCTCCTCTTCTGCATCATTAGTTGGGGCATACACTTGTATGATGTTCATGTTTATGACCTTCTTCCTATTTTCTCTTTCCTTGATTCCTTGAGTCTTTCTTAGTTCCCAATGAAGCCATGATGATCCTTGGATCATGCGCTTCCCAGTCCCTGAATGTCTTTGGAGCTGTTTTAGATATGATCATCCCTACTCCTTCCCTGCCTGGTCCATCACAGTCATTTCCAGAATAAATGAAAAGCTCCTCCGCCCCTCTTTCATTCACTTCTGTCCATACTAGTTCAAGTGGGTCTCGCTGATTCCCACCAGTGTATTTGGTATCGGTGCATCTCTTGGAGAACTTGTGCAGTTTTTCCAGCCTCATAAAGGATGCTAACGTTCCACGATCCAATCCAAAGAGACTTGGACTTGGATGATGGTGGAGGCTTCTGCCCAGCAGCTTCCTTTTGGCTTTTACTGCTTCGGATCATCATCATCATCATCATCCAGTGCCAAATTTGCAACAGACATCGGCGATCATGGTTCTCCATTCATACCTTTGCTCGGATGCTCTAAAAAAAACTATGTTTCCCTGATCTTTCCCTGTTACCCATTTGTTTAGGCACCCATAGTATGTTGTTCTGGGCCTATCCCTGCCTCGCTTGCCCTCAATTTTGCCAGTGAGAGCTAGATGTTCAAGACCCTTATGTCTATTTAGGTGTTTCAAAAACTGCATTTGTCGTTTCCTGATTGTTTTTAACATTGAGCATCCCACGTGGGCTTCATCAAGCACTACCTCATTTTATTTCTTTTCCTTCCACAATACTCTTAGCAGTCTCCTAAGAAACCACATTTCTGTTGCTTCTATTTTATTTCACTGTCTTTAGTGATTGTCCAGCATTCACAGCCATATAGAAGGGTTGACCAAACATAGCATTTCAGGAATTTCATTTTGGGGTTCATTGTGATGTTTCTATTTTTCAGGATTGGCCTTGCATCATAAACTCTCCATTCGGAGAAGATTTACGACCAACCAAGCAAAGATAATGGTTTTTGCTTGAATGTGTTTCTGTAACAGGTTCTTTTTACGTGAGAGGTTGTTAGCCTGGTGACTCAACCCCTGACCTGGAGGGAGGATGACTCTCTTTCGTCATTTAGTCGCCTCGTACGACACGCTAGCACCACGTCAGTCCTATTCTTCTCAAAGCCCGGACTACGCGGTAGAACGTACCTACCCATCTCAGAGGAGAGGTGTAAAGACAAACAATCCGGCCCCCAACTTACCCTCACAGACTTGAAAGATGACTTTCACAAACGTGACGTCAGCAAACCTCTCATTCTCTGGAACAAAGTTCTGAGGAATCAACAAAAATGAAACATGGATAAAAGTGACATGTACCTAAAAAAAACCTACAATATTGTACACAAACCCCCTTACTCCCCACCTTCCCCCCATTCTGTGCAATTACCATAAACGGACTAAAAAGAGGTCAGCCAAGAGAGTTACCATTAAAGTCCTGCCAGAAGAGAAGACAAAATAATATTACTCACAAGTTTATTAAAACATGAGGCAAGGTACAGCGTTCTCTTTTATTCCCCATCAGTCCATGTTCAATGTCAGATAAACTGCCTGTTATTATTCTTATGTTATGATTATGTTATGATTATCAGAGCAGATAGAACATTCGGTTTCTGACCTCATGGTCTTAGTAACTCAAAACAGCCAAAAATGTTAGAATATTGTAATTCTAAGGTAGAGACTAATCTAAGCAGTCGGATTTTCACTTACGCAGTGGTTTTTTTCCTTGAAAAGGATTCCAGTCTCGGAAGTCTGGAGGACTCCGACAGTGACCGATCCTCGGCTCTCAGCCACGGCTATAAGCCCACCCGGGGCTAAGGCCACGTCATCGATTCTGCTCTCTAGAATAAAACAAAACACAGTGACATCACACGAGTCAATGCTGTAGGTAAAAAAAGTAGGCGTATGATTTTAACACCTTTATCAACATTATGAGGTTATATTGATTATTTAAGAGGCAAGACCAGGGTTGGTGATTTTTTTTATTTTTGTGATAAAAATTTTAAAAATCGATTTTTTAAATTTAAATCAAGATTTTTTTAAAATTTAAATCGGATTCTTTTGATTTTTTTTTAAATGTCGACACAGTTTGGGATTTTTGGTTGCTAAAAGTATGTTCTTTTAGTGCAAAATGCATTGTCTTTATTATAACTAATGATTAATTGAAGCAACCGCAAAAGAAAGCCTTAATCTGCTATATATATATATATTATAATAATAATAATAATAGATAGCATTTGTACAGCGCATATCCCCGCTCAACAGCAGGCTCTATGCGCTTTACACTATATTATTACCCCAGCAGATCATAGAAAACTCCGAAACATTCTCAGCTTCCCGGGAAGCATACAGTGCAAGCAGCCGATTAAGCGCTCAAATACTACCAAACTGACAAGATCTTTCGCTGTCTATAGCCGGGTACCCATTCCCACCTGGGTGAAGTGAGGAAAATTCGGGTAAAGTGCCTTTCCCAAGGACACAACGTCGGGTCCCTGACGGGATTCGAACCCACGACCTTACGGTTGCGAGTCCGAGAGCCTAACCACTAGGCCACCGACGCCACCTACTGATATATATATCAGTGAATTATGACTACAGACAAAAAATGAAGAAAATGTCAGTCTAAAAGGAAGGGGGGGGGGGGTTAATTATGCATAGATAAACTTGCATTTTATTACAGTGTGTGTGTGTGTGTGCGCTCGTGTTTGTCTAAAAAGAAAAAGAAAATGTTAATTTCAATAATGAAAAAAAAAGTAAATTGAATACTGTATTATTTTACAGTGACAGGGGGAAAGCAGACTTTTAAGCATGATTATATTAGTCTACTAAACCTTATATCTGTTTTATAAAACCAAGGAAAGGAATTCTGAATGTTTAAAGATGTAAAAACAGAATACATTTTTAAAAAGTGATTGAAATCACTGAGTTTTATTTTTAAAATTAAGTTGATTTAAATATTTTAAAAATCAACTGATTTAAATCAACCCAGCTCTGATTTCAATTATGGAAAAAAAAAAGTAAATTGAATACTGTATTATTTTACAGTGAAAGGAGGGAAAGCAGACTTTTAAACATGATTATATTAGTCTACTTAACCTTATATCTGTTTTATGAAACCAAGAAAAGGAATTCTGAATGTTGAAATATGTAAAAAACTGAATAAAAATACTTTTTTTTAAAAGTGATTTAAATCACTGATTTTTATTTTAAAAATCAAGTTGATTTAAATTTTAAAAATCAACTGATTTAAATCAACCCAACCCTGGGCAAGACCTCCAAATTTAACATTCGTCTCCGACAGTACTGAGCCGAATGGGTTGAGATCCTTTTTTAGTTTAGTTTTAGTAAGAGTTTTATGGCACTTGCAACACAATAAGGTCATATAAGTGCCGAAGATTAGAAGTGTTACATGATAGTAACAAATACAAAAATGGAGGAGAGATAAGGATGATAGACGTTTGATAAGAAAGAAGGAGCAAACCACACCAGAGCACCCACCAACCACCCACTGAGATCCTTGAAAACTCCACAAAACAACCCAAGTTTAAGAATGCCCAGTCTGTGATTCCAACCAGGGCCATCCGTTCCATAGCGCAGCATGATATATATACCAACTGAGCTAACAAGCGCCCATCATTGATGTGTTAAAGTACAGGGAGTAGGAGTACAACAGTAACTCCATGATGCACAGTGTGTGAACATTACAACTTGTAGGTGGTTGATTGCTGACTCCTGGTTCATACAGTTGTTGCTCAGCCGGCCGTCAAACATACATGCCATACCAAAAAAAACAAAAAAACAACCAAACAAACAACAACAAAAATGGTAACTGCGTGACGTAATGGGAGTCGAGTTCCGAAGTACCCTCCAACCATCTGTAACATGGAGGGGGAAGAAAACACGAGCATACGAACTATGAGCATTCTCTCATTAATGAACATGTCAATTAAGCTTACTGTATATATTATATTCACCTACCACACAACTTCAAGTATAATACAGGGATATACTTTGACTCTAAAATCAGCCCATTTTCGTTGGTCAAGCACACAATACACAGTGAATATCTGACATGCCTGAAATCAAGCACTACTCCAACATCAGTGTCTCACCTATAACACCCACTGGTTAATACATTAAGTTTTGAAACTGATTTAATTAATCAGTGAGGTAATCACTCAACGGAAAACCTATATCATTTCCCCCTCTTTAGGCCCGATCATGGCTATATATGTCACGCATTTCATTAGGGATATAATTTTTATGGCAAAAAAAATTGGTCATATTCTAGGCGAGTATAATAATACAAGCTGGGCCCCCTTTCGATGAAAGGAAAGATCGGTGCTTTAATATCAACTAAAAGTAATTGGCCTACTATATTTACACTCTATTGGAATGGAGCAATAAGTCTTGAGAGACACAAACAATTAGAAGGTCTAGATCTATACTCTCAAAACAAAATGCGCCTCACGAAATATCACTTTCGGGTTTTCTAAAAATACAGAGACAGAAGCGTCGGCCTACAAAAGCGATCGGCGAAATAAAGAAATGTAGCTTTTTGCAGCAAAACTGTCTCAACATTGAAAAAACGAAGGGCGTCATGATCTGGAGAATATTTTAAAGAATCTTTAGGCGAAAACGGTATGTCGATCGATGCAGCCATTAAAAAGCCTTTTGAATAGCAAAATTTGGCCACCACAAATAGATAAGATGTGTCACGATGTAATGGAATCAGGCGCTTGTCAGTTTTTGTGCATGTGGAGTTATTGGTATCATTTGAAAGCCAATTTATTTGCCTTGCTTTCAATTAAATAGATATCCAACTATCTTGAATAGAACTCGAGATATTTCCGATTGAAGGAAGTGAGGTCGTTTGGTTTCAGTGGTGAAATAAGCGAGAAAATGGTTGCCAAAGTTCGGTTACTCCAATAGCTAAAGAGTCCTTGAAAACAGAAAAATGACATATTTTGTGCCTTTAATCAATGTTTTTCCAGCAAAATTCACATGGAAATGGGTTTTTATATGGACATGAAAAGAGGTAGAGCCAAAAACAAAATTTCAAGAAAAATGTCGAAACTGGCGGAAAAATGCTCGTTTCTCTGATTTCATATTTTGACGAGCGCCTGATTTCACCACACCGTCTCACACCATATTCATGAAGTTAAATTGTGAAGTAAAATCAGCAAAATAATTAAGAATGGCTAATACATGAGTCCATTTTTAAAAAGTAAGAACTTGACATTCCAAAAAGTGTGTCACTGAAAGTTACAGCAAAGTTCATTTTTCAGTTCTGTTATCATAGCTTGATAAAATCTCCTCGGTACCAAGTCATCGTCCAAATTGATGCTAGGTATTTATTATAGGCTCTAAATCAATCAGTCAATGAAAGCTGTAAGTCCATAAAAACACCCCCAAAATTGCAAACAATCTAGCCTTTCCAGAACGAAACAACACAGAGTTAAACTGACAGAAGTGAAGGCAGATATGGCTACAATAGTCAACACCGACATAGAAGCTACAAGAAAAGTGGAGGGTGTTAAACAAAGTGACGTCCCCAGTTATACACATACGGAAATGTTTGATGCAAGTGTGCTGCCCCTGAAACAGAGTCAGCTGTTGGTCCACCGACCATACAAATGTACTGCCATCTGTTGCAGATGCCGTTCTGGGTCTCTCTGCACTCTGAAATGAAGTAAACATGGCAGTGAGTATCTACATACAGCCTTGTCCATATGTCGCTACCTTGGAATTACAATGTTCTGTCTGCTCAGTAGCCAACCAGGTTGACTGACTTGACGTAAAAAATTTTGAGTTGAACAACATGTCAAGCTTTTTCGAATGCCATTCCTTGAATATCTTGATAATGACTCTGAATAATCTTACGATTTTGATAGCGGGGATAGAAGTAGAATATTTGGTTTCTGACCTAATGGTCCTAGTAACTTTCGTCTTTTATAACAGCTAAAAATGTCAGATAGAACTTTGTAATTCCTAAAGCAGCGATGTATCAATCCCTCTTTGTACTGTACCAAACCTATTTCAAAAAATGGATAGAGAAAAATTTTTCAAAAGCACAATTTTATTACATTGTGCTTGCTTATAATTCATGTTCACACATATATATACGGTGGTTCTTGTTTAACAAAACCTATTTAAGACAGAATCTCTTTTACCATGAAAGGATTTCAAATCCCTGTATATTTTCCCTCTTTGTGCATTGCAACTTACTTCCCTATAAAAAATCTGCTTAACGAGAAGATTTTAATATTCTCTTGTCCAGTAAAATTTTGGTCATCAGGGTTTTGCTACAATTACTTTTTATGGCAAAGACTAACAAAGTTATTTATCATGACATATCTAATTCTAATATGTGAAATCAAGCGCTCGTCAATTTTTGGGCATGTGAAGTTATTGGTATCATCTGAAAGCTTTTTCATTTGTTTTACTTTCAATGAAACAAATACCCATCAATCCTGAGAATAGACGTCACCTCCTGATTTCAGTAGTGTAATTAGCGAGAAAGTGGACACCAATGTTTGGAACCTCAATAGCTTTGCAGAGTCCTTGAAAACTGAAAAATGACATATTTTGAGCCTTTAATCAACGGTTTTGTTCAGTAAAAGTCACATGGAAATAGGTTTTTATATGGACATAAAAAGGGGAAGAGCCAAGAAACAAAATTTCGAGAAGAACTGCCAAACTGGCAGAAAAATTCCTGTTTCTCCAATTTCATAATTTTGACGAGTGCCTGATTTCACCCTGATGCCTCACATATATATGTTAATAATCTACATGAACCTAAGAAAGTTTACATCAATAAACAACTGGCCAATGGCTTCACAGCCACATGTTGTGTCCGCGCCTGTGAGCTGCCACACTTTGCCCTCCATTGTTTTCATTTCTGGAGAAAAAAAAAGTAATAAATAAATAAAAGAAATTATACATTATATGAATTTAAAACATAAAATAAACCTTTACGAAAAACTTAACACCAGCCCTGCATTTTCAGTTGCCCCACCCCCCAGCAACAAGGTTTGACCTTTCAAGATATGTGCCCCACACAAAAAACAGGTGCAAATTACTGGCTACGAAAAAAATCCAGAACTTTTCGGCAACCACAAAAACTCAAAATTCACTAATCATATTGTCTAAAATCTTATACATGATGTATTGGTCTAATGTGATTTCTAAATATTTCCACGAATCCCAATGCCACATACAACCAAAAAATCAGTACCTTCTGTGTCGTGATTCGAATTGAGATCATTCTTTTAGTTTAAAGCCTGTGCACATTAAATCCATTGCTCATTTTACATGATACAGTTACAATTCTGATTACCTTTGATTTTGAATTGGAACAATTTCTACCCTCCTGGCCATCTAAACTGATCACAGACAAAGGTGTAACTGTATACGTTCCAGTGCATGGGAATAGCAAGTAGTCCAGTTGTATCCTTATAATGCGGTTCTTACTTTTATGTGGTTGAACTGGTTTTGCTTTTAAAAAAGGGGGGACTGGGTGGGACTTAAGGTGAAAAATGGGTCAAAATATCAGTTATGGGGTTTTTGCACAATTGAATACCTGAATGGGTTTAGAGATATATATATATATATATATATATATATATATATATCAAATCCGGTATATCATTTTGCTGAGAAAAGCATGCAGTACGGGAACATTTTGTTTCATATAGGCACTAACGGGTCATTTTTTACTTTTAAGGTCATTTTCTCTGAACTGTGCTTTTCACGGACAGCATGGCATGAACATCCTAAAATGTTGCTTACATACATAGCTCTAAACACTTGAAATTTGAAAAACTGATAGCTTTTATCCATTTTTCTAGGTAACGAGCTAGTTATTTTTGTCATTGTTGGTATATATGACAGGGGGCATGAGCAAACTACTTGAAACATACCAAGATCCAGAAAAGTAATTGTTCAGAACCAGAAGTAATCATCCGTGGAGCCAAAACCCACACTCCATGGTTATTCTTGGGGCCAAAACCGGATTGCCTTAAAAATCCTCCACCTACAATCTTGCAATCCTACCCCTAGATTCCAAGAAGCCAATCCGGAAGGACTTCCGTAACGAGCAGCCACCCAAATAAACACAATAGGCTAAATATACCGAAGACGCCTAACCCTGACCCAACCCCCATCCTTACCATTACCCCTAACCTCACCCTACCCTTACCCCTACCCCAAACCCTCTATTATTCTACAGTTTCATTGTAGTGGCTTGTTACGGAATGGGAGTGACTATTCCGACACGAACACGATCCGACGGAGCTTCAGCCCTGGCCCCCCTAGGGTCATTTCTGATAGAGATTGGTTTTCAGCACCGTCCAACGCCATTTGCGCATTTCCCAGTCACAGCATCAATTTACTTTTAACTTAGACGCATCGGTCAAAAAAAAAAGAGAAGCACATCATTCCCAAAAAGAAAAAGACCCACAACAATGTACGGCAATGTACGGTACCCGTCCACATTCATGCTATTAGAGTTTTAAGTCTAAGAACGTGTTGAATATACGGGAGCTTAAATTGACACATGTCCCATTAATAGTCTTTGTCCCGCTAATCCTATCCCTGACCCTATCCAAAATTAAAATCCTCCCATGATGAAGAAATTGAAATAAAGTTACTAGATAGATCTAGATCAACTAGATCTAGATCCAGTGAACTGGAACACCAGTCATTTCGTCACACCGGTGCAGTCAAGAGAGAGATCCCAGTCATCTCGTCATACCCAAAATCCACAAGGTAGAATGAAATTGGTCATTTCGTCACACACTTGCAAACATCAAACGTGTATTGTCCTGGCAATCGCAATCACGATTTATGGGGGAGGGTTGAGTGGTGTGTGGTAGGCCGGGGTGGATTGCAAGACATCATGCAGACATGCCTACCTAATCAGCCACACTACTCATAACTGGGTGAGTTCTGTTGAGTTGTTTTTATTGGTGAAAGAGGTGGGGGCAGTTGGGGGGGGGGGAGGGTAGTTGTATGCCATGATTGGCTTAGAATTAGATTTTTAAATAAAAAACAAGAGGCCACGGCCCAACAATTGCGTGCTTGAATTGGTGATTTAAAATATAAAGACTGCTGAGGCGGATTCTCTTAAACTCTGGCCTAAACAATTTTGGAGAAATAAGCAAAGCCATTTCGTCACCCATGGGGCTGGGGAGTGACGAGATGACCGGTTCCCATATTTCGGAAAGGGCTTAGGCCTGCTTCCGTAACGAGCGACTACCCCAACTAACAAATAAAGAAAAGACACACCTATCACCTAGAATCTAGTGCATCTAGATCTAACCCTGGTAATTGTTTACTTTCTCGCGTAAATTTTATTTAGGGGAGGACTTCCATAACGAGCGACCACTCTGAACTCTATGAATATTATATATATAGGCCAAAGGTACTCAATGGCCATCAAAATCAGTACAGAAGGCCTAAATTTAAGCCAGTAGACCTCAGGGATGCCACTCAACTTTTTCTTAAAGCTGAAAATCCACGCGCCACGGTCTGACTAACATGAATATATATATATATCAATTTGAAACGCAAAGGGTGTACATAGAGATGACAAACAAACATTTATTAATGGGTGTATATAGACAGAAAGAAATGACAAACAAACAAAAACAACGGAGTGTCTACGTACACGGTAACCGGGCACCTAGCCTCAGTGTCTACGTACACGGTAACCGGCAACTGGTCACGTAGTAGTGAGTCTCAGTGTCAGGTACACGGTAACCGGGTATGTAGCCTCAATATCTACGTATACGGTAACCAGCAACCAGGCATGTAGTCTCAGTGTCACGTACACGGTAACCGGGCAGTTCAGAACTCCCAAGTTCAGTTTTTGTCATCCGGTGTTGCCTTCATCCCCACATACCGCTCCCCCGACTGTACCTTAATTTAAGCCTTTAAAAAAAAATCAATAAATCCCTACCATTCCGCAGCCCTTTACTTCGCAGCGCAGAGACTTGGAGTGAACTTTGGTGACCCCAACGGGTACTCACAATATGATGCACAAGCACAGGCTCACTGACTGGTCACGAGTGACAATGGCGAGCCCGACAAGACGCATTCTTTTTTTTCAGAGAGTGACAACACAGGACAAATATTGATTTAATTTCATTCAAGTTACCGTGTACGTAGACACTGAGACTAGGTGCCCGGTTACCGTGTACGTAGATACTAAGAGTAGATCTAGGTGAGACTAGGTGCTCGGTTAATGTGTAGATCTACGTAGGTACTGAGACTGACTAATTGCCCGATTACTGTGTACGTAGTAGACACTCCGCAAAAATAATGGGAGTACATAGAGAGAAATGACAAACATCTCTGGACTTTAGATCAAGATCAGAATCATCAAACAATCAACGCAGTGGCCAGGTACGTTCACGGGGCAGTGACGCCTTAATAATCCACCATTGGCCGCATTGGCATTGGCATATACAGAGACTGAAAGTTGAAAGCAAAACGCTAATGGTTGCTCAAAGTGAATAAGCAATGAGGAAACGGAACGGAACTGCTCCTCCCGAGGAAACAGCACAGGAATACTCACGTGAAAAATATTATATCTAGAATCTAGATTCTATTATAATTATAATAACGGAGTGTCTACGTACACGGTAACCGGGCACGCAGCCTCAGGGTCTACGTACACGGTAACCGGGCACGTAGCCTCAGTGTCTACGTACACGGTAACCGGGCACGTACACTGGCCTCAATGTCACACACACGGTAACCGGGCGCATAGCCTCAATATCTACGTACACGGTAACCGGCAGCCTCTCATTATAATTTTATATCTCTATCAGCGAACACGGTAACCGGGTATTTAGGGTCAACCGCTCTATAGTCCAGCATGATACCCACTGAATTTCATAACTGAGCGTCCAGACTAGGGTCAACCGCTCTATAGTCCAGCATGATACCCACTAAATTTCATAACAGAGCGTCCAGTAAGCCTTTACTTATGCTTTCGTAACCACCCAGAAATTTGTCATTACTGATAACGCAACAATTATTGTAACATGCAGGTTCGGCATTACAAACGTGGTGTCGGCATGAAAATAAATCAATATTTGTCACTGTGTCGTCACTTAGTTATGGGGGCAACATAAAGAAAAGAAAGTAATAGAAGCGTCTTGTCGGGCTCGCCATTGTGACCGGTCAATGAACCTGCGTGCGTTCTGAGCGCTTCGAAGTACAGGATTCAGGAATGGGGGGAGATTATTGATTTTTTTAAAGACGCACTCGGGGGTCGGGGATAGGGGGAGGGCTTGACGCAGCACCAGAGGACAAAAAAACTGAAACTGGAAGAAAATATGTTTAATGTTTAGAATTTTGATTACTACACTACAGCTCTCTGCTAAGTAAAGTGTGCGTTGGTGCAGGCCTTGTGAAAACCGCCTAAGTGTTCGCGTTTCATTGAATTGGTGACAGTAAATTAGATCTTTTAGCTTTCTGTACAAGATTCGCAGATTTTCAGTATCACTGCATCTTGTCCTCCCACAGTTCTTACACCTCTCACACTGAATAGGTCTACTTGGACTATTCTACTGTACTTCGAGTTTGAGCATTAATTTTTGTCTTTGACGTTTATTATATATAGGCCTATATATATATATATATATATATATATATGATATGAATCATGACAGTCGATATTCTGGTTCTAGGCTCAAAACAAGATTCATTTTTATACATGTACATGTATAACAGGCGAATATGATAAAGGAAACATTTTAATAAGTCGTACTGTAAGTTTCCAGGCGCCACCACTTTCTGTATGTATTCAAGATTGTAAATGTTTTGTACGTGACTCTTGCAAGCTTGAAATTATCTCCCAAACCCTCAAATTGGTGTGAAATAACCTTGCTTTGATAAATTGATGGTTTTCATTTCTACATTCTAGGGTTCAACAGTATTATAATAATGGGGGTTTCGCTAAAAAAAAAATGGGCTTCAGTGGCGATCACCCGGAAAGTTCCTCCTTTTTTAGAATTCTGAGTTGAGACCCATGTGACTTACATAAAGATAAAATTGGTTTTCAAAATGCTGTGACAATCTTTATTTTTGATGGCTCATGATTATTAAAATCTTGGATTGTTTGCCACCTTGTTTTGTACTATGTCACACCATTTGGAGCAGAAAAGCAAGCATTAGACCAAATACTATAGCCTTTGGGTGTTGACCATAGCTCTATACCCCCTAAAGATGTAGGCTTTTCCATGTTTGATTTTGACTGTCTTCTCTCTTCCATTAGTTTTAATATTATGTCCAGGGTCATTCTTTTTTTATTTACTCTCTTAGCTTTCATATTTATCCAATGTGTATGTTGTGTGATTTGTGTGTGTTTAGTAGAGACCAAGAGAATCGTTGTGAGGCTATGGGGAGATTTTTATTTATTTATATATATAATGTAACTACATGTTACAAAGTCATAGTCAAGTCTACTTCTGACAAACTCAACCAATAAAAGCTTTCCTCATATAGTTTTATCCAATGCGTATGTTGTGTGATTTGTGGTGTGTAACATGCTATGTATTAAATATATAATATAGAGAGGCTATTCACAA